TAATATAATAATTGTTGCAAAAGTACAAATAATAACGCTAAATTAATAAAAGAAATAAATAAATAAATTTGCAAATAATTTGATTGATACACTGCAAGGTGTAAGTAATATTTATGTCATATGTGTTTTGGATAAATAAAGCAGATGAGTTTTTCAAAAGAAGGTATAATGAAGGACGGGAGAGTTATATATAAGGAGACCGAATATAATGTACGGGAAAGGATTGCTCGTTGGAGACCAGTTGCCGGCCGTCCCGTGAAAGACAGAGAAAGAGACAGAGAGAGGCGGCGAATTTTCCTAGATTTAATTAATATTTCATTTGCATGCTATTTCTCGCCTTGAGCAGCTTCGTATTGCGGCACGGAACTGTGATCCCCGCGTCTCGCGCCGCGAAGAATCACCACCCAGACGCGAGGGGAGGAGTACAGCCGCTACGTGATCTGTACTCTCCACGTGCACCTCCACGACCGACACGCGCGCGCGCATACACATGCACACACACACACACACACACACACACATACACCAAGCCAGCGCGGACGTTTATAACGGCACGGGGAGAATGCGGGGCTGTATGCGAATGTCTCGTGAAACCGCGCGCTCTGCTCGCTCTCTGTATTTCAATTTAGTACGTCCATTGTTAGATACTAATATTATTCAGTTGGGAATTGTTTCGCGACGCCTCTACCGGAGGAAAGAGGGAAATCTTGATTTTGCGCGACCTCCCCGTCTATTACTCGGTTCCACCCTCATCGTCCTTCTGAATATTTCCGCCCCGTGAAAAAGATATAGATAATAACGAATATAAGATCCGTCGTTTCTCTCGGCACGTCAGTGCCGAAAGAGAATCGGGAAGGGATTTTTTATGCGACAAAAAATTTAAAAAATTACAAAAAATTCATATGAAACAATTCGCACGCGTCATAGTCTGATTATTCGTTCTGGACTAAAGAAAAGCACGTGTCAAATGGAATATTTTATTGCGCAAAGTGAAGTTCGGCGACAAAGAAGCTTCAGCCGATCTCGCCCATGTGTCATTTCATTTTTTTTTCGTACATATTAAATCATACATCGTCCACGCGTATGTGCACACATACATACACACACACACAGGTCTGTGTGCGCACAATTCAGGTTGATGGTACCACCGGATTGCTTCCCGGGGCGAGCAAACATCGGCGCCATGTTTGCCGACGTTCGGCAACACTTTATTCTCTTCCGATCCGAGAGGAGAAGGTTAAAAAAAGATTTCACTTCGATTGGCTTCCACGCACTCATACGTTTGTATATTTAAGCGAACCGATGTGTAACCATAAAAACACGTGCGTGGATACGCGTGTGGATACGTGGAGGAGGGTGGAGAGGGAGTAAGAGAACTCGACTCGGTTCCCATGCGCGCACAGAGAAGACGAAAAGAAATAGCGAGCGAGGAAGCAAATATTGATGGAAGTCGAAAAAATGTTAAAAGCCATCCGACTAGTTATTCGGTCAGCTATATATTCGTCGAGGACGAAAAATTCGTTGTTCCGAAAAAAAAAAAAAAAAAAAAAAAAAAAAAAAAAAAAAAAGAAAAAAGTACGAGCGGTCGGACAACTAAAAATCCTCCTCGGTATTATATAACGTTATCCAATTAGGTATGTCCCGGAATATTATATGCGCAATAGCGTTTCAATGTCACGGAAAAAATAAATATTTCCATCTGACGTGTTTTCACAAGGTACTCTCGTTACTTTGGGCGAACATTCTCGAATATTGTACGCGCACTTAATTCCATCTTAAATTCACAAAAGAAACTTTCAACGCGTTTGTGATTAAAGCAAAGAAATGTAGCATTTCCGTTGTAACACGTTGCGAAAAAGTCGTGATCAAGCAGTAATTAACATTATACGAGTTAATAAAATCCGTAATTGATCTTTAGTTCTGCGACAAATTGACAAATACATTTAAAAAGTAATGACAATAATAATATAACAACAATCGGTGAAAATCGAGTGGAACACAAGGGTTTTTCAGAGCCGATCATCGACACGAACATAATTCGATGAACAATTCCGGCACCTCGATCTCTTTCGCGGGAGAGAATCTTAAATTATTCGGCTTCTATCATCCAACGCGCTCTCTCCCTTTTCTCTCCAACAACCGGATCGGTTTCCAACTCTAACAACCCCTTTCTCCACCCGATGGCTTAAATTCCTGAGTGCGCGAGAGACGCGAGTATAGAAAGAGGGGTGGTTGTTGCACTCTCTGTGACTGCGGATTAAATCCGGTTGGCGGAGGCAAGGGTCGAGGAGGGAGAAGGGGAGGAGGATGGCTATTATGCTCCATTATGAATGGTAACCAGTAGCCAAAGGAAGTAACTCCGCAGGGTGTCGATATATTGCCACCCCTGGAAAACCGGGCGACTACGCCTCGTAAATAATAACCGGGAGCATTATAATGCCGCGCCGGGCACAAATTGCTAGGTATATAACGTCGGGCGCGTGTTCAGGCATCGACCTATTGGATATGCGCCTTGTAGAGGCCAGTCGATTATAGGTATTCCATCGATATCGTGTACACCTAAGCCAGCTAATACACACCACTGGCGTAATCGTTCAGATATCGTGAAGATTTTCCTCCGTCAATCTCGTCTTTCAAAAAAACACTAATTCAATAAAAAAAAAAAAAAAAAAGAAAAAAAAGTCGCTCGCGTCGCGTCGAATGCAGAGTTTTTGATTATTTTCGGTTTCTCTTAAATACTTCAATAAGGTATAGAAAAGGAAGAGATTCAAATATATTAAAATTGAAATATTATTTACTCTCTTTTATACGCGTAAAAAATAATAAATAAAAAATTTATACATAGAGAATTTATGAAAATTTATATCATAATATAAAATTTCTATTATTTCACCAACATATTTAATTTAAACGAACAAGTTTTCACAAAGAGATATAAAAATATTTTTCAACAAAAGTAAACTGTTTTCTTAGAATATTTATCTCTAAAAACTTACTTGCGCGTGACACAACGAAGGGTTTCACTATAGGAACATGTGCGCGTTATTGTGTGGGAAATTTCGTGATGCACCTTCTGCGACTGTATATACGTAAATTGAGCGGCAGAATTGACTAGTCATCGCATTGAGATTGATTTATTGAGAGCGGGCAGTGCGATTTGAGATCGATCGACCATGAAACGAATTCAACGGCGTCACGTATCCCATTTCTTCATCTGCGAACGCGGCGCTCGTCATCCGATACCTTTTCCTTTTGGTCGCTCGAGGATCGCTGAGAGAAATTTTCGTTCAGCCGGAAGAGAAGGCCCAAAAGATCTCTCCGTTGTGTGTTCACGAAATCAGTCCTTTATCTCTCACATCTGGAGAGACTACGTGTCTTCCGGTTTTCTTTTGCCACAATCAATTACATTTATGTTGCGGACGAAACGCAACGTGTAAAGTAAAAATTGATAAAACGTTGCTGTGTGATAATTTACTTTATGCAATAAATAATATATTTATTAATATATTCGTGTAAAATGTAAATTATTGGAAAAACGCGAAATACGTACACACGAAAAATGTGAAAACTCAACATCCATCAAATTAACTGCGGGCCAAAATTATTCTATCTCGCGCGCGCGCGTGTGTGTGTGTGATAAAATTTAAAAAAAAAACTAAAATTATATTTACAGATAAAATTACATATCCATATATAGACGATTATATTTATAAGAGAGATAAGTTATATATAATTATTATAATTATTCGTAGTTGTAATTATAGGGTTTATCAGAGACGAATAGATCAACATGCGGATATGGAGTATCAATATCTCTTATTTATTGGATGTATTTCTTCGGTCTATACATTTTTTTGTCGAGTAACATGGTAACTACACGGTAAAATGATGATTTCAGTCGCTAGCGGCCAGTCTAGATATTTTGTTAGGCGTTAGTTTTTTACTTACAGGCAAACATTTATGTATATTACGTGCGGACGCAATTTCGGCACGCGGTTTTGAATATTATTTTCGGGCAAATCTCGAGATTAATGCAAGATAAAATCACTTATAGCGGATTGTATTTACAGACTCACCTCCCTCTTCTCGGCTTGAGAGTATAATACTCGTCGAACTTGTTACCTACACACATTTATTTGTTCTATATAGTTCATTATCTACACATGTATAAAGTATATTCTGGAGACGAGTCGGCCGTGAATCCGTGAATTTCAAACTTTCGCCGCCGCGTTTCCTCTCTTTCACACGGCGCGTTTACGCGTTTCACACAGCGCGATATTCATTTCAATTTTGCGAATTTTATCGTCGGCGCTTTATCCAACACAGAGATCCTGATTAACCCGAGCGTCTTTTTCCCCTTCGGTCTGAGAAATGTTTAACTATATAGATATACTGAAAAAAAAAACAGATCGTCAGATACTCATCGGGATAATCTCCCGTTGACTCTTCAACGGGGTCGCTTCCAGCGTCTTCTTCTTACGGAAGCGACGTTATATTTGTTATTTTTCCTTTATTGTCTATTCGAACAGCTTTGCGACGTTATTTGGTATTATATGTATATTGTCCCAGTTAGTGATGAGCAAACTCGAGCCTCCGATGGAATCTTGTCTCTGGAGACAATACTTCGTCGTTTCGAGTTGATGATTTTCTCCTCGTGACATAGTTCAGCAGTCATTCGTACAGTTACATTCGTGTGTAACACATATACCGAGCTCGATGTTGAATATTTGCAATATTCGTTGTAAGAAAAAAAAAAAAAAGAAACAAAGCCAAACTTTTCTATCTTGAGAAAGATATAATTTTTGGGACATTCTCAGATTCGCAAACTGTTATTTTTCTCACGCTCGTGATATGTCACACGTCGAGAGAAAATAATCGCGGCACAGTTTCTTTTCGCGTATTTCCCAAACGTGAAAATACGGGGCGATCGTCGTCGTCGTCGTCGTTTGTTGATGAGACTATTAGTGGGGATACGACCAAAAGACGTGACCTCCGTCAGGTCACTCGGAATAGCTGGTCTTGTCGCTGGCGTCGTCGGGACTGGTCTCCCGGTAAGCGTCGCCGGTTCCGTTGGCGTGCAGGCTCTGGTTGGGCGGTTTGATCACGGTGGGCAGGTAACCGGTGCCGGTGTACGGCGCGGCCAGGAAACGATGCCGCGTCGACGGTATTGGCGTGGTGCAGTACGCGGCGCGACTCGCGTAAGCCGCGGCCGAGACCGACGCGGCGGACGCCGCGGCGGCCGACGCCAGGGCGCCCGCCAGCGGCGAAAACGCCGACTTGCGTTGCAGACTCTCCTCGCAGACCAGCACCTCGATGGCGGACACCACGTCGCCTGCGACACAAATGCTCTTTCTTCGACTTCCTTCGCCAACACGTTTTCTTTACGAAAAAAACGCGCGCGCGCGCGCGTCAATCCGAATAGATATAGCGCGTCAAGTCGCCGGTAATAAAGCAATAATACGTCGAGGAAAAAATAAGCGAAAGTGTCTTTGAACAGGAGAAAGAACTTGTATCGGTCAAGAAAGTGCAATTTTTTTAAAATAAAAATTGAGAACGAGATTGTAAATGAGTGATAATTGAGACGAGCAACAAGAAACTTATGTAACGAGATTTAAAATGAGTTTTTTTTTTTCAATAAAAAAGCAGACTTTTTACAGTTCGGTCTTAAAACACGTGCGCAACAGTTTTAAGTAATTGAGAGCAATAACATGTTTCATGCAACGCGCGAGAAAAGAATCTCTTCCTTTATCAAACGAACAGATTTTAATCAAACATTTTTGTAGATACATTATAAAATCTGATAAAAAAAAAAGAAATTGTTTGAAATTGTGACGACAATCCTACCTTTGTAACGATGCAAAAGCGCTTCGACGTCGGCGCGGCGTCTTCCGGGAAACACGCGCAGCAGAAGATCCACCGAGCGTTGCTGCTGCTGTTGCTGTTGTTGTTGCTGCTGCTGTTGCTGCTGTTGAAGCTGCAACCCGCAAGTCTGCTGAATGTTTTGCATCTGCATCTGCATCTGAATCTCCCGCTGTTCGGGGATGTGATGGTGATGCTGATACAACGCCGGCGAGCAATACGCCAGCGAGGTCGCCGTCGGTCCGTAAAGCGGCGCGTAGGGAGGAAAGTGCACCGCGGTCGCCTGCGAACGAGCGATTTTCTCGGTCTTTGTACGTACGATCTGTCGCCGCAAATGCGTGATTTTACTAACTTCATTTTACGTCTGCGACTTCTTTTTTTTTAAAAAAAAGAAAAAAAATATATTTTCTAAAGAAACATTTTATTTACGCCAATTTATACAAGAAGAAATCAGATTGTAGTATACAAACTTCCGTCATGTCAATTTAGTTGAACTTTTTTAATTGAACTTTTGGTTGCAATGTAAGAAATGCAGTTTGATGAGAACTTATGTCGCCGATCTGACGAAGCAAAGATTTTTTTTACCGGGCAACGTTTAAAATCTAATAGACTGAGACGTGACTCACAGCTAGCGGGGGTAGCGGGGGACTAGGTCTAGGCTGTACCAGATCCACCGGTTGCAGGGTCTGCTGCGTCTGCGGGGGACTGCCGCTTTTGCGCAGGCTGAGGTTCTCCGGCGCCGGAGTGTCCTCTCGCTGCGGTGTCAAGGCCGGCGTCAGCGGTGGCGTGTGCGTCGGACTCTGCGAGCCCGGCTCGGGACTACCCTCCTCGGAGTCGTTCAGACTGCTGGTGCGCTTTCTCGTTGTCGTCGTCTCGGATTCCGGTATCCCCGACGACGTCGACACCACTGTAACGTATCCGTCGCTCTTGACGAGAGAGTTTCGCGAGTAAGATCGAAAAAAAAAAAAAAAAAAAAAAAAAGACGCGCAATCGAATCTGAGGAGGGACGATCTTACCCAACGAGCGATCTCGCAACTCGCCACCGGAATCGGAATCGCGATCCTCCTCGTTGGCGGTATCGCTGGTCGACAGGATCGTCGCCGTCGTGTTCTCAGACAGTCTAGATCGCTTCGATCCTGAGAAAAAAATTCCGCGATTATATCGAGCGATTAATTAAAACACTTGATTCGTCGTATCGAAAGAAAAAAAAAAATCTACTTTGGTTCCTATTTGTCGTGTTCAATAAATAATTAAATCAGCACCAACACACAGGAAGAGAAACGCGTGTTCGCTTTTGTACGACAATCTTTCAATACTTGTAGCCAAATAACCGACTTATGTACTAGCAAACTTTGCGATTCGAGATTCAATAATCTGTACACTGCTGCTTAATAACATCCGAGGCTCTTGACAGCGTCGTTATGGCACGCGCGTGGGCGTGTGCGCGGAGCACATGCACAGCAATTGAGCCGTCGGCAATGCGTGAAAGAATCCTTACTTGGGCGAGTGGTTGGTTACGATTAGGTGGTAGAAGTCTGACCGCTCGTTAAAAAGTTTAACCGTCCGTTTATTAGTAAGGGAGAGAGAGATTGATAGGTCGAGGGAAAGTATGTAGCTAGAAACGAATACGCGGATTTCTGTGTTTTCACCCTTCTTCTCTCTCTCTCTCTCTCTCCCCCTCTTATCAACCCGCCCTCTTGTGCGCGTGCACGTGCGCCCCTTCGCGTGCCGTTTAAGCACGGAAGTCTTTAATGTGCGCTTAACCACGGATTTCTCCATTCGTTGAATTACGTTCTTTGACGGCGTGAGTCGGTAAACGTAATAATTTATCGATTGTACGCGGGAAGAAAAAAAAAAAAAAAGTTTCGCTATTGTATGACCGGCGAGAAAAATTTGCCTATTGAATTTTTTTTGTGTGTGTTTCGCCAACAAAATGTTTCGCTCGCGAAACAAAAAAAAAACAATAACACAATCTTGAGAAAAAATTCTCAAAACAAATTTTTTTCCGCCAGGCAATTAATTCAATTCTTTCTTACGCGATTTTTCGAATCTTTCTAGCGTTCTAGGTATCTTCTTTTTTTCTCATGTTCATCTTTTGTTATGTATAAAATTCTCACTCTAATCGTCTCTTAATTAAATCGCAATCAATTCCACGTTAATTTGATTTTTCTGTTCTTCCGCAAAGTAATAATATCGCAACACCCTTTCAAGATGGGAGGGCGAATGACGGGAATTGTTTGCGGATTATCGAGAGGGAGAAGAAAATTTCTCGCCATAAGGATACAGCTATCTGCGTGCAGCCTTTGGTATCTAGATAATAACATTAATAATTGACATCTCCGGCCGACGTCAAAAGAAAGGAATGCAATATCGAGAGCCGCGGTGTTAATGTAGCTGCCGCACCGGAGAGAGGATTCTTTAACTCCCCTCTCTCCCTCCCGACGCGCATTCCGGAGCGTTTGTGTAAGTGTTGCACACACCGACGCCGTGTATTCACGGCTGCATGTAGGTAATCGCCGGTAGATATTACCGGCGAAGACCGTTATTAAAATATCATTCTCTCTCTCTCGCACAAGAACCCCTCTTTTTCTCTTTCTTTCTCTCTCGCGGCATCAACCCCTCCAGGCTTTCATCGTGTGTGCCACTCACGACCGCGCGCACGACGTTGAAATTCATATCCCCATGTAACCTTCATAAAGTCCCGTGGCAGCGTAACGAAGTGCACATATCTCGCCGTGTTCTTGAGGGTGTCGAGTATGTCAAACACGTACGTAGCTCTCTCTCTCTCTCTCTCTTTCTGCGCAGGCGGACTGTTCAAACACACCGTCACGATTCCGTCACGGTTTGTAACAATAGAAAAAGTTCAATTTCACGCTAAGTTCGTGTCTTCGCGCTCGACGTGCGCACTCGGAGATGTCGTGTACGGAGTTTAAGATGATCGAAGGATATTTCACATCGGACGAAAAACTTATCACATCAGTCAGTCTTGAAATGTGCGTCTTATAAAGTATATATATATATATATATATATACACCGTGCACCTTAGCGCGGTGTCCTGATCCTGGAAAGTGTCTAATCAAAGGCGGGAAAGAAAACCGAGACCATTGTGTAACGTCGCGCAACTCTCCTTTGAGCCGAGACGCAGCAACGCGGGCACAATAGGGAACACAGTATCGCAAACAGGAATCTTTTCTCCCCTCTTTTCCTCAACTTCTCTCTCGTCGGGTACTTGTCTTGTATTTCGAGAAGGGTGCGTGTGCAATTTATTGTAATCTCTCCTGTCCCGGGCACACACGAATGAGAGATCTAACTTCTCTCTCTTGGATGTCCTTCTGAAGCGGAGCCAACGCGTACACACACACATACATATACATAAGCTCGGCGTGTATTTTGAGACCCGCCTCTTCGGTGAAGTTAATAAAATTCAGTTGTGTGTTGGAGAAGAAAAGTGCCGGGAGGTACTTCGGATCGTGTCGAAACGTGCGGAATATAACGCGCAGCGGATAACGCACATACATACGTGCACATATCCTTTGCGCGACGCAAAAATAATTATCTAATCTCTTGCAAGTGTAATCGCGACGATCATATCGATCATCAACACCCGTCACAGACAAGTTCCGCCCGCCGCGTTCTTATACAACGTGTGATTCGAGCGGGACGAGAACGATGGAACGGAGAGGTGTGGCAAAGATTAATTAGACGTGTTCGGCGATGTACATTACGAGTGGAGCTCGCACAAACCGGACCTCTCTTGACCAACGATGACAAGACGCACTCGAAGCAGATACACACAATCGGCGGCGGCGGCGGCGACGGCGGCAGCGGCGGCGGTGGTGGCGGATGTTGTTGTAGGTCTACGCCCTAACCTGCGGCGGCGTGGCGTATCAGCGCACGGTGGAGACAGACGCGGACAATGGAATCATGCGAGGACAATACCGAATAATTTAGAATGGCACATAGATATCAGGAGAGGCTCCCGGCCTACGGCGGCGGCGCATAATAGAGAATAGGAGTAATAGGACACAGCCTGCGGGGCAACTGTGGAGGACACGAAACATCCCTATAAATTAGGCTTAGGCAAAACGAGCCCTAACCGCGCGTGTGCGCGTCTCCCCCGCACGCGAATACTTCTCTCGTCTGTCTTCTTATCTCGAAGACAGAAGCGGGTACGTATTTGCATTTTTTTGAAGTTCTAACGCGCGAAAGAAGGCAAACGCTTCGTTTCGATCTGATTGTCGAGAAAAAAATTCAAAAAACAACTTTCCAATTTCTTTGGAAATTGTGTATTCTTGTCTAAAAAAAAAAAAAAAAAAATCATCTCGATCGAATTGTGCCGATGTCGCGCAATTTTTACCGCGCGATACTACCTAGCGCGTGTTACTTTATTTTGCTCACACTTTTATGTGAGACGTCGCGAAAATTTCAAGTTTGCCGATTCCGTGCTTGGAAGTTTGTCGCGAGGGAGCGTCGACGGGAGAAAGAGAGAGAGAGAGAGATAGAGTATGAATTATCAGTACCTATTGTTCGAAAGATCATAAAGTAACTGGAGTGTGGTACGCGCGGCGGGACTCGGAAACGCTTTCTCTTTCTTCGGGGCCGCGCATGGCGATTGATAAACGGCCTTTGTACATGATATTAATTCCGGCGGAACTTCAATTCAATTACAGCTGGAAGTAATTTACGCCGAAAGTTTCTACCCGATATAAATCAAAATCTTACCTGTTTGTGACTTCGTGATATTAATAAATACTTACACGTACTCACAATATGTGTCTGTGTGTGTGTGTTGTGTTCTCTCTTATTTTTGGTATCTTATTATCGACGAAACGATATCTCGAACGGTATTTCGACGCGAACCATACGCGTTCCACAGAAAACACGGTGGAAACCAAGTAAAAAATTCCAAGCTCTGGAAATGATTATACCTAAAATCGATAGAACAATCGTGTCTCGTGTACGAAGCGGTCTCGCACGGTATCAATTAAATTCTATGAAAGAACGCGACTCCGGAGAGGAGGAGGAGAGGAGGAACTCTCGCGCGACTTCAACCCAGTCAGAATACGCGCGCCATACACGTTCTCTCGCTTGCAGCAGAGCTTTTAGGCTCGAGCCCGGAAACGAGATCTGAGCAACGAAGAAAAGACTCCCATTATTACGTATCGATACGCTCGGAAAATAGCAGCGCCCGATCTGCCGCGCAGAAATGACGCAGTCGATTCAAGAGTCGCGGTGCGAAAGCTCGAAGAAAAAGCAAATTCCTTGCCGGGCAACAAAGAGAGAAAGAGAGAGAGAGAGAGAGAGAGAGCGCGAGAGCGCGAGGGAGAGAGAGAAAGAGAGAAGCAGGAATGAGACAGAAGAGGAAGGAAGGGTCCTTCAGCCAGCAGCGACAGCAACAGCGAGCAACAGCCCGATCAGTCATTAAATCGTCGCGATTCCCTTTTATTTCCGCTGGTCTGTGTGTATTACACACGGTATACGTGTATACACACATACACGTGTGCGTGTATATATATATATATATATATATATATATATATCTATATATATATATCTATATACATATATATATATATATGCTGCGCGCGTGGGAGCGTTTTACAACGTCCATGTGTTTTTCGCGCTGTATGTCGCGATGAAAGGGGTGAATATAGGGCCGCGGGATGGTTGTGTGTACATACCCCGGGGATGTATGATGGATGGAGGGGGTGAGAGAAAGTCAAGAGAGAGAGAGAACGACAGAGAAGTAAAAAAAGTGAAGGGAGAGAGAGAGAGAGAGAGAGAGAGAGAGAGAGAGAGAGAAGGGAGAAAAGCGAGGACAGGGAGAGGAGAGAATGCTGGAGAGCGATCAGGCGTAACGTTTTTAATTGTTTCGCGCCCAGCCGCCTTTTGTTTTGGCGTTTATACCTCCTAAACGTTTGCCAAGCTCGCTCTTCGACGGTGGTGTACTTTCCCGGTGGGAGAGAGGGACGGACGAAGGGAACGTGATATTCGTACCTCCCTTACCATCCCCTCGGTCGTTTTCATTCCCTTCCATTCCTCCCCCCCCCCCTCACCCAACCACGAGGGTTTCTTCGAGAGTCCTTTCGCTTCGTGTCTTGCTTCTTTTTTTTTCCCGAGGAATATAACGTGATCGTTAGTTTTTTCTTTCTAACTTCCGCCCTCCCCCGCGCGCCAGTTGGTACAGCGATGGCTTTCACGCTCGGCTGGATGCTCGCCAATGCGTTACGTTCGCGAGGTTGGGCCGCCATGTTGTCGCGTGTCGGAAAAGGAAAGGTTTGTCCGCGTCCTCTCTCCCTCACGGCTCCGCTCGGCTACATAACCAGTTTGTGGCTTATTCAATTAAGCCTCCCCCTCATTACTTTTTGATTCTTTTGTCGCGTCTTTTTCTTTGAAAGTAATTAAAAATATATATTTAAGTTTTTCTACGGAGAGCGATCAGAGAAAATATTTATCTACAACTATCCGAAAAAAAGATATTCTTAATGTTTTCTCCCGTCTCGTCATCGAGTGCATTCGATACTCTTCCCGCTGAAATGTTATTAATTCATCTGGATGAGAGAGAGAGAGAGATAGTCTTTTCATGATCGTGGCGGAAACCTCCGAAGTCTCTGCCACAAAAGCAATAAAGTGTCCGATTTCCATTTCTTTTCTGTTGTCTTCGCGAAAATAACCGACACACGGCTTCCGAAAATCAGTTTCGGTCCTCGTCCCAAAACTAGGCCGTGTCTCCCGCGTGTAAAACGCGTATGAGGTGCGAAACTCGCTTCGAAGAAAAATAAAGAATTATAAACGCACGTTTAGAAAAGAATTTAGCTCGGTTCGTTCGAAATTGTCTTCTCAAAAGATTGCAATAACATAAAAAAAACAAAACAAATACAATCGCGCGTGTACTTATTTTACGCGTGTACTTATTAGACCGTGAGTTTAGTATCGAGCTATTCAAAAAAAAAAAAAAAAAAAAATCGCAAATACTGCCTGCCCGTAGACTGTATTTGTGATGGCGATGTCTTGAGAGCGCTTTTCCAGGCATTTCCATGATTTTCAAATATTTTGAAGCGCCGAATAACAACTTGACGGCTGCCCGTAGTACACTTCCATATAATTCTTTGTGCGTTGAGAGGATTCCCGCTTCTTTTACTTGCTTTACATTCACACCGAGTTACCGGCATGAAATCACGTACGTGAAGTGGTATTTAGCGACATTCCCGTGGATCTCGGGATCGATCAACAAGAGATCGGAGCTGCCAAGGTTCCCGTCATCCCGCCGTACGTATCCCCGTGCGAATCCGACGAAGCGAGGAGAAACGTACGAGAGTCAGAAACGCACGAGTTTTGTTCAAACACTCTTAGCGGACGTGCTCCTTCGGCGGCGTTGCACACGTGTATATGCATTCGATCCCGAGAGCGGGTACACCTATGCAAATAGGTAAGGTCGGTCTCGGGGTCTTACCTATCATCTGTCCGCGTTTGCGTGTTCTCCGAAGTCCCGCTGACTCTTTGCAAACAATGTTGCGAGGCACGTCGTAAGAGCGATAAGTAGCCGCGTGTCGCGATCATCCCGGACTTATCCGAATCTGATTACTCAAATTCTATTTGCGCCTTGCCGAGTTCCTGAGTCATGCGTGTGCACATGTACGTGCGTGTGCTCGTCTCCTTCGTCGAGTTTTTTTTAAAACTCGTACTCGAGTTTTACGAGTGAAACTGTTTTTGAAACATTACCAATTATTTTTTGTGTTACAACAAAATATATTCTGTATACATATCTACAGATATATATATATATATATATATATATATATATATAGACTGTGATTTCATGTCTCTTTCAGAAAGCTGTAGTTTTGACATTTTTATTTGCGGGCGTTTATGGACGACAGCGCGGTTGAGGGAACCTTTCGACAAGAGGTTCGCCATATGATCGGAATCTTTCTTGATGCCGCTTGCTTCCGCATCGAGGACACGTACGCCGCGTGAATTCACACGAGCGCAATCTAAGAGGAGCGCGCAGGGGAGCGTATTACAGCGGGGGCGAAATAATTTCCTGATGTCCTCCGCAGTCACGAAGGACGAAGAACGGAAGCGAACTGGTCTTTCACAAAGTTTCTTGGACACTTGAAGAAGCTTCTCTCTCCTGCGAGAAACTGCCGGATAATGGTCCCCCGGTAAACGGAGCGACCGGAGTGATCCTTACGGGGATAAAGGGTGTGTCGCACACGTATGAAAGACGCCCTGTACGCGTGCATGTGTGCACCACACACACACACACACCGACTCCTACAAAGCATACGTATCCCTCTCTCGCTGCTGGCTTCGCCAGCGGAGAATTTCAGCGGAAAGACCAAATCTCCACATCCTCCTTTTCGAGACGTAATGACTGTGCCCCGCGCGCGGCAGTTTCGCCCTTTGCTACCGCGAAGCACCCACCTTCGTGCACTTCAATCGCTCGTAAATGTCAGTTAGCGTGACTCAACTGCAGGCGATTTTATGACAATATTTTACGTGTACGCTATTTAAATTCTCGTTTACACGCGCATAAAAATACATACGTAGTGTTAAATTTAAGAACATTCTCTGATTAGAAAATTAATAAATCACTGAGATTTCCTCTTGGATATATTAAAAAAATTGAACATTAATTCCCGAACGTGTAAGATAAATATATTTTGCATTTTTTTTAGCGATGAAAAATTAATCTGCGTGCAAAATAGTTTCGAGCAAAATTTTTGTCATATATATACATATATGTATATGTATATATGTATATCTGAAAATGACCGAAACGTAGAATACGCGACAACGTTGTGAAAAGATCGGAATAAAAAGAACTCGAATTTTTTAGTTGAAATTTTCTTCCGCGCGTTCGAAGAAAGAGATCTCATCTTTCTGCTTTCGCAAAGTCGTGAGTGTCCATTCCCTTAGCATTAAAGAGGTGGATATCTCTTTCCCCGTTCGCGATATAATAGGGACTCGTCGAGTTTCTCTCCGCCACCAAGAGGGCACCCACCCACTTGGCAGCACAAGCAACCTCGCGATCTCACTAACTTACTCGGAAAGAGGGAGAGAGAGAAAGACAGATTTTGTGTGTGTGTATGTATGTGTGTGTGTGTATCACCGACCAACCTAGAATCCCCCGCGGTCGAAGGCACTGGCCCGAGAAATTCAATTACTGCTAAACTTCTCGACCGGAGACTCTCCCCGGTTCATCTATATACTACTGTAAGCATTCTGTTTCGAAGATCGGCCAGAGAGACATCTTACATCTCTCCCTTGTCTCGCAGGTACGCCGCGGTACATTTCGGACCGTAATTGAAACCAGGTGCGCTCGAAGGGTTTCCTCATCACGGCGAGATAGTAGTTTGTTTTTTTTTTTTCGTTCTTCTTCGCAGTTTACTTTTTTTTTTCTTTTCATTTACTGTTTCGGTGACGTCGAAGAATATCTTTGAAAAAAGAAAAAATTTCTCTAAAATTACGCGTTTTAAAAGTGAGTTTTCACGGCATTATATACGAGAAATAAAATACAAATGTTGAGGAGTTGCGAAACGGATCGCAACTTGCGCACTCTTCTGTTCCGCAAGTGGAAAACGAACGCGCGTGCAACGAAATGTGTCAGAATGTACACACACACGCCGAGTTTTATTATTTACAGCCGCGCGCGCACCAACTTTATACTCGCGACGCAACAAAATGCAATGCACCTCTTTCGAACGCGTCACTGTCAGATGATGTGTAACGATAAAATGCAACGATAGAAAAGCGCTACACACGGAGTGCGCTCGTAACAAACACACCGATAATCGAGTGCGACCGCATTGTTGCGTAAAGTGTATTTATCGGCCGGAAAAAGTTGATTTTCGTGTGACGTACAATCATAATATAATAAATGTCAGAGCGAATCTTAATACCGTGACGTTATCGAAGATTTATTTCGGTCAATGTGAGCCAACGTGCAATACGTATATATTTTTGTATTTATTTAAACGCGTAAATTAATACACAATAATTTCAACCAAATTCGAAACTCTTTATCTAGAGATGCTCAGTTTGCATCACGGGGATGAAAAATAATTTATCCCTCTATGGAAATTAAAAACAAAAAAAAAAAAAGAAAGACTTCGGCCAAGAGTCGAACTCGGACTTTTCGCGTTCCGCGTGTGACGTTATCTCATTGTTTTTTTTTTATTTTTATTTTTGATATCGTCGCACTCAAAGGGAAGATACACGAGAACAAAAATTCGGGTGTCAAATGTCGCGGCTGGACGAGCTGGCGAGTTTTAATTTTTATTGATATAGTGGAGAGGCGCGCGGTTTTCTCAGAAGAGCGCACTTGGGCTTATGTGCCAAGTCGCGTGTTTGCTCCACTTATAACATATATATATATTTTATATATATATATACGGGGTGAGAATATAAGGAAAAGAAATTCTCTACGAAAGAGGCGAGCGCGAAAGGGTCGAGGTGAGCGGGAGAGCGAACGGGAGAGAATTAAAGGCCGCCGTACTAACGAGTACGACTTTTGATTCGAGTGGTATAATAAGGGTCCGCGAGTCTACATGACTATTATTTACTTAACAATATTATAGCCCGCGGCCACTTGTCCTACTTAAAGGCGTGGTGTACGCACGTTCCTAATGGGCACTCGTCCGCAAGTCATGCGTGCACCGAACGCGCCCCCATTTCTTGTGGTCGCGTGCCGTCGATTATATTACGGACTGCGTGCATATACTATACCGCGCGCGCTTTCGCTAAATAGCGATACGCTTACTTATATTCTATCTATATTTGCCGCGCAATCGTCTTCAAACAAAATATATTGGCACCGCATTCACGCGAGGCGAAAGTTACCAACACGCAATGAACCGAAGATGAAATCCTCGAAGAAAGATGTGTTTTTGTTGCGGTTTTTTGCACATACATGGGACAATTTCTAATGCCTCTGACGGGGGGAGAGATTGCGAAAAGAAAGATCTGCGGGAGAAACTACAAGTGGCGGTGTTTCACTCACCGGCGACGACCGCGGCGTCGCTCTTCTCGATCTTCGGCTGCCGATACTCGTCCTGGGTAGACCTTTTTCGCGGCAATAGACCACATTCCGCGGGTTGTTGCTGTTGAAGCTGCGTCTGGATGTGTGCGGCAGCGGCGGCGGCGGCTGCCGCGGCCGCCGCGGGTATCGCGAGACCCGCCGGACTCGCTACGTGCGCCGGATGCGGGGGCGGACTACCGGCTGGTGTCGTACCGGCGGTTGTCGGCAGAACCGGAGCGGTGGTGCAACTGCCGGCGTTATATTGCAATTGCAGGCCCAATTCGCGCGCCTCGCTCTCCTCCTGGGCCTGTTGCCGTCTCAGCGCGACCTGACAGAACAGTTTTTTAGATCGTCGCGTTTGAAAAGAATAAACGCGTGTAAAACAGTTTACTCGAATGAAAAACACATGGTCTCTTTAACGTAAGCAATTCTGAAATGATGTAATCAATATCACAATTGCCTGAGAATATTTTATTCGCATTACATTTATATATCGCGCGCGATCAGATTTTTCTTTTCGTTACAATTTGGCGCTCGGATCAAGAGTGTATTGATTAAATAGAGAGCGCGGAAATACAAGACACACGTGAATGAGATCTCGAGTGAAACTAAACCGGGCCCATTGGATTCACAAGCTCATCACACACATGTCGATGTTTAGAACGAAATCTTAGATGTGCCTATATAGCATTACGGTCCTGAAATGTTACATGAGCTGGTAACTCTATCCGTGATTTGGCTGTTATACCGACGATCCAAATGTAAGCCCACCGAAATCGTATCGATTCCACACTCTCTGCATTCGATATATACGTACATATCCGACAAGTTCTTTAAGTAGAATCTAGCCGATGATAGAAGAGAGTTTATTTCTTTTTATAATTTTACACGCGAAAACATAAAAAAAAAAGATTCATTTTGTAAGAAATATATATTCCTCTCTACCGAGAGGACACACGCGATTCAAAAGAGTCTGTAAATGACAAATCAGCGACACGTGATTAAGCATATCGGCGACCTCGAAGAATATATATCTCACCTGAGCAGCCATAACGCGTTGCCTCTCGGCGATGAGGGTGCACTTAGCACACACGCAATCCCGCCACCGGCAATAGCGTTTGTGCCCTTTGAGCGCGGACACGACTCCATGATTACGGCATCGTGCGCACTTGGGGGTACGTTGGTATCTTTCGTTGGCGCGCAGAAAAAACGCGGCCGGCAGCACGTGATGTTGCTGCTGCTGCTGGTGCTGCATCAGTTGGCCCACGTCGACGCCGAGATCGACACCGCGGGGTAGCGACATGATGTTCGCTGTGTTTCGGCGATTGATAGCACTTGCCGACGACGATAACGACGATGACGATCAGCAGCAGCGCGATCACCGCGCGCCGCGGAAAATTCGTACCGGGCGCGAAACCGCATACTCGATTACGCTCACCCCCATGCCGGAGACGATCCTGAGAATCCCCCGGTGGTGATTTGCTTTGGTGGTGGCTGTGGTGTGGTGATGGCGATGGGCCACACAGCGGCCTTGTCACAGCCAAAACGACACGGAAGTGCGCTTCTCTCAATGCGCTCGCACTGTACGACGCGTGACACAGGATCTGACGGTACCTACGTGCACCATTCTGAAGGACGTGTTCGATCGAAAAACGTTTTTACAATGATTCGCAACAAATACGATGTGGCAATTATCTTCTCATAATTGTGAACGCGCACTTCCGTATTAAATTCCGTATAACGTGGGCCGCTATCTGTCACACGACACCCGTTTCGTTCGGCTGTCGGGGGCCGAAATGCGGAATCGCGCCCCACGACACACACTCTCTCACCCCCCCCCTTCCCTCCTCTCACTCCTTCTCGCTCGCCGACATTGTCAACAATTGCAGCATCCCGGGTGAGTCGATTCAGGTAGCGCGCGCGGATAGACGGAGAGGCGGTAGCGCGGTGCCGGTGGTGGCAGCAAAGTGGGAGCTTAAAGGGGCCGCGGCAGCAGCGACCGTTCTCTCTCTATCTCTCTCTCCCTCCCTCCCTCTTTCTCTCTCTCTCTCTTTATCGACGACAGAGGGAGGACATAGGAAAAGGAGAGAAATAGAGTGAGAATAAAGGACAGGAGATCGGGGAGGGATAGGGCAGAAACTAACGGTCCCCTCCACACTCCGCAAGCGCGAAATAAAACACTGTGCCACAGTGTTCCACCCCGGGGCCTCGGCCAAACGCGTGGCCGCGGCGCGCTGCGGCCACGCCCCCGCCCGTCGCCGATTGGCAAGTTCGCGCTGTACCAAACTGGAGATGTTAAGAGTTTATATCTGCCGCGGAATGAAAGGGGGACATACCTAGTCGCGTACCCACCTACCTATATACCTTTGCTACCCGCTCACCCCGAAGGGTGTAAGTATATGCGTCGATTGTGTGTATCTTCCATACGGCGGCGATGATGGTAGTAACGGAGATGGTAGTAACGGTGGTGGTGTTGGCGGCGGCGGCGGCGGCGGCGGTGGTGGTGGTGGTGGTGGTGGCAACGGACAAACACATTACTCTTTTATTTAAAACCCGTTCCCGCATAAAATACAATGCGGAGCGATGCTCAGACGTTTCTCCATGCTCCGCCTTTTGTTTCGACCGACTGTTCTTAACTACGCACGCCTTTCTCGTTTCTCTCTCTTGGCTCGAGGAACGTGTCCTTTCTTCCTTTTTCTCTTCTTTTTTTTTTTCCCTTCCTTCTTCGTGTCACGGGTCCTCTCTCGCTGCTCGCTACACTCCCCTACCCATTCCACCCCCTTTCCCCTCTTCTTCTTCGCTCTCTTTTCGCTGGATACGGTCTATAAACCGCAACCAACACCGTCATCGCGACGAGCCTTCTTTGAATCATATTGTACAATGAGATTTGAATGGTGTGGGGTGTGGAGAGAGAGACGGAGAGCCAGGAGCCCTATTGTCGTTTCACCAATGGCGGCCGATTTTATAGTGATCTAATGTACAGATGTTATTTACCCCGCAATGAGAATAGAATAAAAGCATTGTGCGCATTATATGATTTGGATCGCGTATCTCTCCACGTTTCTACCTACTTACCTGCCCTCTCCCCCTCTCTTTTACTTTCAATCTAAAACTAGCCCTAATAAAATCTACTTTAACTTGTACCTAAACGCCCGACGTATAGGTACGGCAATATGGATGAAAAAAAAAAAAAAACCGTTTTCTTCCAAGTAACAATTATCATTCATGCGCGTCTCATAAAAGAGTGACACTTTAAAGGGGACAGGTTTACATAAAACGAGACATATAATCCGTAAAACTGGTTCTGTCTCCCTTCCTCTCCCTCTCTCTCTCTCTCTCTCTCTCTCTCTTCGGGAATAAAGCTGATAGAGAATGTAAAACACAATCGTATTCAATTAACATCGCGCATTTTCCATATGCCTTTTTTCCGGCGAGCTGCTGCTGCTGCTATTATTATTATTATTATTATTATTATATAAATGGATAAGTACTTGATTTATGTCGCGAGTCATTGAGCGTCAAGCGCAACACACTTTGGCTAAATTATCCACATTGTAATTTAGCAATCGACAGAATTAAAATACACACACACATATATATATATACATATATACACACACGAAATGGAAAATCTGTCATCGAGAGTGTCACACAAGGGTGCGCAATAAATACAGGTAACAGCGAATGGAGAAAATCACTGTTTTCGATGACGTCCCCGCGTAGGCATTTTTCATTTGACGGGGGCGAGGCAAATTTGGAGCAATAATAAAAGTATTTCGATGGTAGTATTTGTCGCCAATATATATACATATATATATATATATATATGCCTATAGCACGGACCTTTTTTTTACTCCTCGGTCACTCAAAGCGAATGTATGCACTGATGGGGAAATCAATAAACCAATAGGTACGCCAATACATGCCCGCTTTTATAAAGTATCGCGTAATTTTTTTGCACACGATATCAAAAAACACGAAATTGAAAAAGTTTTGAAGCAGATGGAAATATCCATCACGCAATTACAGAGATTCGATAGCACTTTCTTTTTCGGGTTTAGATCGTACACGATCGAATCAATCTCTCTTCGCGAAAGTTGATGAAAACGTGACTTTTTACGTTTGTTTTTTACACATTTCATAAATTTTTCTCTCCCGTGCTACTTGAAGAGAGTACGTGTGCAAAAAATCGATCGATCTCTCTTTATCTCGCGGGTTTTCATAATTCTTGCGCTCGTGAAATGTTTCCAAAAGTATCCGATTTATCTTTGATGTCGAGTGGCTCGACGACGCCCATTGTTCGCCCACGCACTCGAGATCTCTCCCTCGAGCTGTGCGTTGTAATCTCCCTCGAGGTAAATAGAGCGATCGAGATCGCGGCAATATATCGAATTACGATGTTTGCAAACGTCGAGTTGACCCCGGAGTTGGCACCGCACACGGGCCGATTGAATTGAATCGTGTCGCGATCGGATAAGCGAGATTAGATTATAGTCGCCACGTCAAAGCCGCACAAAGAAATCACAGGTAAAGTAGGTGCTTGCACCTAACGCGGTTCCCATAGCTTTTCTTCTTCCTGCAACATCGAAGAACTCGTAGTGTAACCTGTTTGTTCAATGGCAATACAATAATCGCTCGATTGGAAGAGATTATCTCACGTAAAATCTCTCTCCCAATAGTGTTACGTGAAAATATACTTGCCTGTTGCGCGTTGCGAGATAAAATACAATGCTGTTTTACTTTGTGTTTAACACAAAGTGTATGTAAACCCCCTCATGTGGGGGTTTCTCTCTCACAATTCGAGATACGAAATTTGCTCGAGTAACTTGGGTGATCAACGGAAGGTTGTAAAATGTAAATTTTTTTGAACTACGGGAAGAAGAGAGATTGTGTTGCATGTAAAAATTACATATATAAAATATCCAAGACGATGACGATTGTCCGTTAATCTCGCACATCCTTAGATGACACTGGCACATGTCGGTGCACACACTCATGTGAATCCATATATCGCTCTACTCCATTCAAGCCCGCTTCCAGTGGGGGGAAAGGTCGGGCGCGGGGGGGAGGGAGTTGCGTTGAAGCTCGCGCGATATCTCGTCGCGATCTACCGCGCCGGTGAAATACCGTATGACTTTTTGACGTGCTTTTAACAGATTGAATTGAAAATGGCTCCCTGGCTTTTCCGATATATCTACCCGCCTAGCATATCCGAGCCGAAACGACCGACCGAACGAACGGACGAGGGAGAGACATGAGAGAGATATATAATTCTTCTTCTCTTCCTTCCTTCTCTCTCTCCCACTCTCGGCGATCTCTCGATCTCTCGACACCCCTCGTTACACCTCCCCCCTGGCGAGTCCTCTCTCTTCATTTTTGCACATTCGCTGATGCGGCACATTGCAAGCTGCGCCGGCGGAAACGACGTTGGGTGGAAACGACGGGAGGTAGAGAGGGAGAGAGTGAGAGAGAGAGAGAGAGAAAGAGATAGCGGGCGACTGGATCGGTCAGTCTGTGCCAGGAGAGTTGCGAGGAGGGGGCGAGGGCAGAAATAATGTCCCCGGCGCATTTTTTAAAGCCTGCGAATCCTGGGGTGGTGGTCAGGACTCTGCGGGGAAAAAAAAAAGTGACGGACGCGCGCGGAGATATAGATATGTGCGCGGAGAGCTGGTGCGATATTACGGGCCGCAATAGCCCCGGTCCGGTCGGTCGGTCTACGGCCGGATGTGAAACGGTCAAAGCTAAAAAGCACTCTCCGCCGAAACGGGCTATATATTATCCGCAACCCTTCAAACACAGAACCGCGTCCGCGGAGAGAGAGAGATCCATACATAACGTATAACGTGTGCGTAAGCTCTCTCCCGCTTGTCCTGCGAAATCGCTAGCGTAAAGTTATTCGCCGCCGCCGCCGCCACCGCCATCGTCGTCGTCGTTGTCGTTTCGATGCTCTTGGACCGTTAGGTGCTCGGATCGGTTTTACTTTTCGTTCAATTTTCTTTTAAGTAAAAGATATCAATATTTTTATCAATTGGTTTTAACAATGTTCTAGTTCTAAGAAATATGTCAAATTTAAAAAACAAAATTTATATATTTATTTAGAGTAACCACGTATCTTTTTATCTTTCTACCTAGGAAATTTTGTAGCATTGAAACAATTAAAATCAGCACTTAGTTAAAAGACGAAAAAGACAGATTTCTGGTCTGTCGAGATTAGAAATGCAAAACTCTTTTGCGCTACTTGATTTTACTCGCAACAGCAAGTTTTTTTTTCTTTGGCTTTTTCATTGTTTTTAGTTGTTTAAAAAAATAATGTCGATATATATAATCTCGAATACGTACATGTTGCGTATGAAGGATAATAGTCGCATGTTCCATGAACGGGAGGAACGAAATGGGCGTGGTTACGAGGGGGTTGGTTACGACGAGTTCCTCTCTGTTGCGATCTCGTCGGCCAATGCGAATCCGGTTTGCCATCTGGCAACTGTTGCAAACGCAAGCGCTGTCTAGCTTACATCTCTGCGAGCTCGCTTATAGGTCCCTGCATATTGGACGTAGCGCCGAATCTGATAATATATATCGTACATCAGCGCAGACTCAAATGCTAAGAGAAGGAAAGAGAGAGAGAGAGTGAAAGAAAGAGAAAAAGAGAGACATCTATAGTTCTGTGTGTGTCTACTCGATCGTTTTTAATTTCATATCTTAATCAAAGATATCTTGATCCCAACTTACCAAGGTTCAATTCTGTTGGTATCTGTTTTTATTCGATAAGTCGATTATCCTTTCCGGACTTTGTCAGTTTTTTCGGTTTATACAGTCCTTTGGACTCCTTGAGACGTTCCAAAGCCAAAATCATGCTATCTATTATTTGACTCGTGCTGCTGTAGAAGTACTTGTATTCATTGTCGGCTTTCGGATGACGATTGTAAACGTCCTCCATAAACTCGCCGTCCGGAGTGAAGAAGAGAATTCGCGGAACGTAAGTTCCGTCCGGTTGAAATCTCGCTTCATCTTCCGCGAGATCTTCACCTTTTCTCACATCCACCATAACGAAGCTATTCGCGCGTCAATCAAATAAATAAATGATTCTCGAGTTTGCAGAAAAGGTAGCGGAAAAAAATTGTGTGTATGTGTGTGCAAAAATTACTTACTGTTGGCTGAGATCGAGAATTCGGACGGAATTCGTGAATTTGGGCTTCAATTGCTCGCACGTGGGACAGCCCGGTCTGTGAACCAGAAGAAATATCGGCTTTCGGCTGATTTTAGCTTCTTCGAAGCCTTCTCGCGCGTTTCTCCATTTGTACAAGTGCCCGAAGCTGTGATTCGAATCGTTGACGTCGGCCGCGATTACGTTTCCGAATAAGTAACATGTCAAAGCGGCGAAGCTCCGAAATTTGGTGAACGAACTGAGACATTTGGCGTAACGCATAATTTGTAAATTTTCACGTATCGAGAATGACACTTGGTTGTACTACATGTTTAATGTCCAAATTTGAGTCTTGATAAGCGAAATATAATAATAAGCGATGCGATTTAATCTTCCGCGACTAACTTCGCGCTCTGTTTTCAAAACAAGAGCGTCATCTGTGATTTAAATCCTTGGTTAAAGAGACGCAACTTATCGGATGGAGATTTAAATGCCGCGGTTCTGAGTTTGGCTAAGATGGTTCGAATCTTCGCTAACACGTTCGGTTCTGATTCGCTCTAACTTCGGTTGAGAGAGTTTTTCTAACTTCGCTGCGAAACGCATCTTGTTTTTTTTCCGCACGCTTTACAAAAAAAATAATGTGGAAAAATGAAGAAGGACGAGAAAATATAATGCGATAAGGAGGAGCATTGAGAAGAACACGCGAGGATTCGATTGCGCGCAATATAGGACCGCGATGAGCAACCGAGAGCGATTTGAGGTTAAATCCCGTTCAAATTGCATCATGTGAGTTATATCGATTAAAATGTTCGTTCGGCATGATCAAAATACACAACACTGCATGAGCGCGTGTTTGATACGCAAATTTAACAATGGCGAGGAACAAATTGACGCGCCGTAGGTTAAGATCTCGTCGGGGTCTCTTCAACAACCTCCTCGTCAGGAAATAAATAAAATAAAATTGAGAAAACAATTTAATCGACGAAGATGAACTGGAATTACTTGGTTTTTCAAGCGTGGATGTCCTATTTGATGGCAGCTGGATTATTAGTTTTCACAAGTGGCTTCCTTCTTAATCGCGTCTCCAGACCGGAACGAGCTGAATGTGTGCGATGCACGGCGATCGACTGCGACACATCGAACATCTTCCGTGACACCGGACACGCCGCCAAATTGTGTCTTGAGCGCAAAGCACGTGTCGTGCTCTTGATCGTTGACGCTCTGAAGTACGAATTTGCGGAGTGGCACGAGGACGACGCCTCGATGTCATCATCGTATCATCGCAACAAATTGCCCGTGATACGCGAATTATTGCAGAAACATCCGTTGAATTCGCGTCTGCACAAATTCATAGCCGATCCGCCAACCACAACCATGCAACGTCTGAAGGGTCTTATGACAGGTTCGTTGCCCACTTTCGTCGAGATGGGATCGAATTTCGCATCGGATTACATACAAGAAGACAATATCATTGATCAGAATGCTGCTGGGGGTATTGTTTTCATGGGAGATGACACTTGGACCAATCTGTTTCCGCATAAATTTCTGAGACAGTTTCCGTCGCCGTCCTTCAACGTCTGGGATTTGGACAGCGTGGACAAGGATGTCAGATATCGAATTTTCTTTGAGATGAAGAAGAAAGACTGGTCGTTGCTGATAGCGCACACACTCGGAGTTGATCACTGCGGACACAAGCACGGCATGTACCATCCGGAAATGACGAGAAAACTGAACGATACGAATACGCTTATAAAGGAGATCGTGGCGTCTCTTGAAAAAGACATGATCCTCTTTGTCGTTGGGGATCACGGAATGACCGAGACCGGAGATCACGGCGGCGATAGCGCGAATGAAGTCGAAGCCGCTATGTTTGTCTACTCGACAATTCCTCTGTTGAAAAGATTTGCAATTAACAGCGACAATACCGTGAATCAAATTGATCTTGTTCCTACTCTGGCGTCGATTCTCGGCACATCGATTCCTTTTTCCAATCTTGGATCTGTAATACTCGACTGTTTGCCCGGACGAGATAACGGCGATCAGTTGTTGTATCCGTTACAGTCTCTGTGGCGAAACATTGCTCAAACAAAACAGTACGTGGAAACATATTCCGCGGACACATACTTGTTCTCGAAAGAAGAACTTCAGAATTTAGATTCTATATACAACAGTCTTTCCAAACAAGTGAAACACGTTGATAGCTTAGAAAAATTTGAAGCGTTTCTTCGGGATAGCAAAAATTATTTCAATCTATTGAAGTACGCGTGTTCCAAGGTATGGGTCCAATTTGATTCCAATCTAATGTTCCAGGGTTTACTCCTAACAAGTTGTTCCCTGTTGTTTTTTTACATCTTCATTATCGGCATCCCCGTGAGTCGTATGTGTGATATATTCAAGTCTTCGTTTCTGCAAGTTGCCATAGCGGCTAATGTGATCACAGCCGTGATCATTGAGTGTTTGTTCTTGTTGAATGTTTTGAAGGAGAAGAAAAATACCATTTTTATCGCCACCGGCGCAGTCTCGACTGGTCTGCTGGTCGTAACGATTGCTCAAAATTCGGACATCGTGTGCTGGTTCACGTCAATATGTCGATATTATCGTAGAGTTAAGCTATTGACACTTGTAGCTGTAATAGTACTTTTGTTAATAATAGGCGGGCTCTTCTCCAATAGTTACATAGTTGAGGAAGACAAGGTCCTGTCTTTCCTGATCGTCACGCTTGTTTGTTTGCTCGTATTCGATCTGAGAAAGAACGACCCTGAGAACATCACCGAGAGAAGAACGAGATTTACGCCGAAACCGTCGAAACCGAACTTCAAAACGATCGTATCGGTCATTGGACTGTTGGCGTGCGTCTCAGTGAGATTGTCTCATTACTTCTGGCGCTGCAGGGAGGAGCACATGCAACGGGAATGCTCCATGTTCATCACCGGCAAAGACACCTGGTCCACGATGCCGAACAATTGGGAGCGCGCCCTACTGACCGTCTTGTTCGCCCTGGTCGTTCTGGCGTCGTACGTGATAACGATCAGAATGTGGCTGCAAAGTTGCGGAAATCTCACGGGCTTCGCTCCCAGCGTGATGGCGGGCCAATACTGTCCGGTCATCGCGAGCGTTTTCATGGGTTGCTATTGGATTCTGCAGAAGCTTCCGAACTTTATCAAGCCGAAGTTCATATTATCGTGGCAGATCAACATGCTGTCCGGCGTGGTTTACTTCTTCTGCCTGCTCGGGATTCTCGTTCTCTACTGTTGTCCGCTCAGCATATACCTGCTGCCGAAGAAGAGGGAGACCATCGACGTTTATCAAGACGAGAACATAGTACCTCGATTGTTCGAAAAGATAAAAGACTCGATGTCACGCAAACAAGCGGACGATCCGCCGCCGCCGGTTATTTACGGTTTCGGAACTGCCTACAGCGCTGCGTTTATTTCGTTAAGCGTGTTCCTCACACTTTTGTACTCGTTGTTGCTGGGAGAATCTCTCTCGCCGAGTACCGTTTTGATATTCGTCACGTGCGTCTGCGTGCTGGGATTGTCCGCGATAGAGAGATACAAAAATGCCAATAATGTTTGTGAGTACCGTTTATTTGCAACATTTCTTTCTGTATACACACAAGTTTTCTCAATTTTTCTCTTACGTGTTTTGCATCTTCTCTCACAGCTGAACTTCTCAACGTGTCGATGCCCGTGCTACTCTGTTGGTTTCTGCTGGCTGAATATTTTTTCTACGGAACCGGTCATCAGGCGTCATTTCCCACCATTCACTGGCATGCCGCCTTCGTAGGAACCGGCGGCCATTTTTATGGAAACTTCGTTTCGACAATTCTAATCGGTAGAGATACAGACAATCTCTCTTTCTCCTGCCTTCCCCCCCCCCCCACAGCCCTCAGTTAAAATTTCTCTCTAAGTGTAAAACTGATCAAAAATGTGTTGCAGGTTTCAATACATTCGGATCGCACATTATACTTGGCGCGACATTACCGCTGTTGGTGATCGTGCCGTTTGCGTTGCATCGATTGTTTCCCAAGTTTCTCAAAGCGAAGTTTTTCGATGACATAAAGAGAGGTGAACTCCTGTTGTTCGAGCAAGATTCTGCTTTTCACGCTGCTATTTTCTCAGTTGCGGGAAAATATACGTTGCTTCACGGAATCCGAGTATGGCATTTAGTTTAACAAGATTAATATCGAAACACACACACACACACATACAACAAACCGTGTGTTTCTTAACGCAAATTGTCTCTTTTCTAGACTTTCGGCATCATGCTCGCGGCAACTATACACTGTCGACATTTGATGGTCTGGAAGATATTCGCACCTAAACTAATATTCGAAGGATTGGGATTTCTGGTAACATTAGGTAGCGTGTTAGCATCGTTTTACATGGTGTTTCGCATCGACCAACAAATGGAACATCTTATTAACAGAGTCACGAAAGACAGATGATACATGCAAGTCTAAAAGACGTCTGAAAAAACGTCCTTATTTTAGATGTCTTTTAGACTTCGTTAAAAGACGTCTTTGAAATGAAGGATTGTCTTTTAATGCTAATTTGCAAGACGTTTTTTTTTTTTTTAAAACACCAAAACGGAGATCATTTATAGTTGACTCGTCCTTATATATAAGACTGTGTATAGTACAACCGATAGCAAAATACTAAAGTTGTAAGAACTATTTTCACTTTGGAGATGAATTCGAAAGTGATTCGCACTTATTATGCAATACGAAACGAGCAACGCAAAACCTCTTATCACGATACTGCCAATATATATACATACAAATGTTTCCATAATTTTGTATAAAAATAGTAACTATATATATATATAAAGAGAAGGTAAAATGAAGTGAAATACATCTGGCGAGTGTTACAAAAGGCATGTTTGTATCAAACAAATACAAAAAAACTTGTGTCTCTTCCCAACCTCCTCGAGTTATAGTTAGATCGAAAGTTCGCCTCCTATGGGACGCTTTACTACGTCCCGTAACCGAACTGTGATGCTTCCTAACACACTAACGCTACCCTGCGTGCAATGCATTGCTGATTGATGACGAACAAAGCAACGCACTTGATGCAGGATTGCGTCCGTGTGCCGCGGTCTGTCTGCGCGACTGATGGACACAGCGTGTGAGTCATCGCGGAGTGTGATTTATAAAAAAAAGCAAGATTAAATAGCAATAGCTAAAATATATATCCTTTCAGAAAATCCGTTCAGAAAAAAATATCGTGTATATTTCTCGCGATTGAGATGATATAACAATAAACTCGACATTTCAACGACATGATTCTTCATGTGCCAATTTTTTTTTTTTTTCATTATCGCAGACATTAGCAGATGATTCCGTAACACACATTAACATTTTTACCTTCTTTTTTAGCGAATATATTTTTTATTGGAGAAACAAAACGATTATAATCGTACACGTTTATATGGTTTCGGATAACAACATTCTTCTTTCAAGAGTTTTTTCGTTAAAAAATAATCGTGCAAATGTATATATGTAATTTGTGTGACGAGAAAGAAATACTCCTGCTGGCTGAGAGAGAGAGAGAGAGAGGGAGAGAGAGTGGCCTAATGGTGATTATGATGATGCCTGTGATCTTGATAGTCGTTCTTGTGATACTGCACCCAGTCGGCCCACTTGTTTAAGTCTCCGTTAGGTCCCTGCGACAGATGTCCGCGATATTTCATTATTTTTCAGACATTGCACGTATTTATTATAAGTGTAAATTAATTACTCTTACAAGCCCGGTGCTTGAGAGTTAGGCAATTTAGGCATTTGAATCTGAAAACAGATGAGGTTATCACATTTTGTAGCATTTCGTTGTGAACGTCTCAAAAGATGCTGGATTTTTTATTAGACAAAATGTCGAGCGATAACATTCCGGTTTTTGTTTGCGAGATTTTCAAAAAATTTTATATATGTTGTATGTATTGGCTTTCCGGAGGTGTTGTAGCACGTTGTTTTACGAGAGCACAAAAATTTTATGTATGCGCACATTTGTCTTTCATTAAAACTTTATTGTCGAATAATTAATTTAATGTTGTTATAATTCGTTAAGAAAAATAATATACATATATATATATATATACACATATATTTAAAAAATCGTTTCTGATATACAAACATTTGTTCTTTTTTACCAGCGTTTAAAGAGAGATTGTTTTAGTTTTTACTAAAACACATCGTAGATTAGAAGAAAATAATGAAAATCACATTCATACCAATAATTTGATTCCGCCTCCTTGATGACCCGGAGTGGAACCTCCTCCAGCTTGCACGGACTCCACCGATCCCGCGGGCAGACTCTGATATCCCTGATGCATCTGCATTTTCACGCCTCTCGTATACGGTCTGTGGTCGCGCTGACGATCGTCGTTCTCGTATCCCAGAAACGGCAGCAAGTCCGCTTGTCGCTTCGCACGGGACAATGGATTCTCCGGATAAGACACCCAAATGGACGTCGGCTCCTTCGACAGAGCTCTACTTGCAATCGGATTCTCTTTGATGAAATCGGACGGGTAAGAAGCAGAAGTTGCGGTATCGATGGCAGATAATTTCTTCAAAATGGCGCTCAAGAGAGTGTTGTTTATCGATGAAGCACCAGCCAATGGAGCGTTCGGCAATTCCGGATTATTTGAAGCGTCGACGTTGTTACTCGTCGCGCTCTTCGCGGCCGTGGTGATGTTCTTCTGCAGGTCCGTCAGCATGTCGAATACTTGACTGAGCACGGTCATTCTCTGTTTGAAGGGCAACGTCGGATCCAAAGTTGGTTTCGCAAAAGGAAACCCGGAGAAGGGAGAAGGTTTGAAGGGTTTCTTCGACGCAGCTGCGGCGACCGCCGAGGCCTTCTCGTACGCGATCAGGTCGTTTAGGGTCGCGATCATGTCGCCCTTCAGATCACCGAGCTCTGACATTATCGCGTCGACAATCGCATCCTTAGCGGCCACGACGGATGACGCATCGTCCAGTGATCTCTTGTCTACTGAAAGTTCTTCGGGTTTCAAAGACCTCATAAATTTGGCGCCGTCGCTTGCGTCCGAAGTTGCGTTCAACTTCAAACTGTCAAACAATTTGTCCAAGAAGTCCGACACTTTCGACGTGTACTCGCCTGGACCCGGGATCACGGAGGACGGTAACCAGAAACTGGCTGGCACGATGGTGCTCATCGGCTCTTCCGTCGTTGTCGCCGGAGTGCTAGTGGCGAGATTCTTGAAGAGCGAATCCAAAAATGTCGACTTCTTTCCTATGAACATGCTCGGATCCACCGCCGGCCCGAAAGGTCCGCCGAACGGACCGCCCGGTCCGAACATCCCCGGTAAATATTCCTTCGGCGCGCTGTCTGCTTTCGTCGCCGACATACTTTCTATCACGTGCGGACCCGAGACGGAATTGTCGTCCGTGGAGAAAAGCGATTCTACGCTTCTTTTCTTGCGAAAGTACGGTGTCTGTATGGCATCCGGCGACGAGAACGGTGAGAATGACGAGGAGAACGGCGACGTAGGTCCGAATTTCGGTCCCATCGGACCGAACTTGGGGAACGGACCTAACATACCGCGTTTGGACACACCGCTACTGTCGATCGCTTCACCGCTCGCTGGTGGTGCGTCTCTTTTGGTGCTGTATAACAGATTTGCCGTCTCAGCGCTGTCCAAGGATGATCCGCTCGAGCCATACGGTACGATCGGCTTGGTGTCTGTCACGGTAGTCTGGACCGGTCCTAAACCGCCGAACAAGTTGCTCAGCATGTCCGTTTTCTTAGAAATGAACATCTTCGGATCGACGAACTTCGGAAAGAACGGCGATTTCGGCACATAGGGCACGGATATCGTGTCTATTCCCGATGGAGGTCCGAGAGCCCTCGAATAAACTACAAATGTTTCGTTACGGTAATTAAAATAACGCTCTCTTTCTATATTTCTCCGTATACATTTTGTTCAATTGATTTGGTGAAATAATATAACGGAGAGAAAAAAAATTTATATTACCAGGTGAGGAACTCGAAGACCATGTTGCTCCGGGTGGAAGCGCCAGAGTCAGACTGGCGGTGCACGCCAGCAGGCAGGTTGAGAGTAAAAGTCCTTTCTGTCGGAGCATGTTGCTCTAAGTGATGCGGTTCATACCGCGTGAGCGTGTTTTTATAATAATCATCGATTGATAATCCTTTGCAAAGTCTCCCGGGATTAGACGCAAAACTCGGGAATGCTACATCTCCGAGTTCTGCCGGAGCCTCATTAAAATTAATCCAGCAAACGCATATGCGCGAGGATAGCTCGCAGTTGCGTACTTTAATTAACCAACGCGTCGGAGGGAAAAAGAGAGAGAAAGAGACAGAGAGAGAGAGAGAGAGTATTTAGAGAAATGCAATTTCCTTCTTAATAGCGCATTGACGTGTGTGCGTACGTGGGTGTGAGTCCATCATCTATTTTTAACAGAGCGAAAATACGATTGTAACGCAATTTTTTTTTGTCATCGCGTATGTTGTTTTCACGGCGTTTTTGCGATCGGATTTTAATTGCACCTTTAAAAACAAACGAGCCACCTGTATTACGCTCGTCGACTGTTTCCAATAATGCGAAAAAAATGCGAGCTACTTCAATTATTTCACAGATACCTTACTTTTTTTTTCCTGACTCGGCGAGAATTTGAGATATCCAGGAGATCGTTTGGTGTCCAATATCTGGTCTCTTCTCAATCTCGAAGCTCGTTACACGAGGCAGGGACGATTTTCTGAGCAACGTAAGTAAGGCAACTATAGTTGTTTAGCTCGCGCAAAAAAAAAAAAAAAAATGAGAACATTAATGACCACGTCTTGAAGAAATTTCTTCGCACAATTACAGATTTGATCAAACTTGATCTCCGAAAAAAGTAAATTTCTTCTTTTTTCTTATACATCGAATTACTCGTGTAATTAATCGTGTTTTGATCGCTGTTTAAATTTTAGCAGCAATATGTACCAAAATATATACTACATCAAAAATACGAACGGAACGACGACGAACAGTGGTGTTTCGCCATCGCAGCAATGTTTCTTGTACGATAAGAATGCGCCGAGTTTTAAATCGTCCCTTTCGGAAGGTTTTCCTTTCCGCGGTTTTCCCGAAAGCGAAACCTCCACGCTTCAATGTCAAGTAAAAATGCATAAACGCACAATGTTTCCGTGTAGAGAAATCAAAGAGGAAACATATAAATAGAAAATAGAAATAAAAAATTAATTACATCACAGTAGACATGTATAAGATATAGAATACGATTTGTTTTCGTTCAACAAAAATTCCAGTCGATGTTCAAAAATTCTAGCTGTGCAATCCAAATTCTGTATCGTATATTAACCTTCAGCAGCGGCAGTTCGATTTCTCGAATCGCCAATTAGGCAACAACTCACAAAAGTGGCTAGATAATTACAACAGCGGCCAAATGTCTCATCGGCAGTATATGCTTAATAAGAAATGTGCACCTGTGCGAATCAATACCGATAATGAATCACATCTTTGTTATTCGTCTCGAACAGTGTATCAGGTTCGTAACGTTCAAGAAAACGCAAGTAAAAGAATTAAATAGATAATGTAACAATAATTTCAAAAAATCCATCAATCCTGTTTAAATTACACGATCGATCGATTTGCAGGATACGTGCAACCGTACCGATACGTCAACCAATTTGTGGGACAATAAGATTTTCTCACTGTTGAACAACACCGTTAAAGAGAATTGTAAAGAAATATATCTCGACGACACGAATGTTATTTCTGATAAAAATAAAAAATTTGACATTTTGCGAACGATACTCGATAATCGTCAAAATGCGACAGTTAAACAAATTAGCGACGACATACGTAAGATGGACGTGTGCGGGGACGGTGATCAAGATGTTGTTGTGGATGTACTGTGAAGATGTTAGATGTTCGTTTAAATTGACAATATATATGTGTGTATTTGATTAAAATTTGTTTTTATAACATTCTGCAGGCGGACGATCTCTTGGCGACGGCAGATGACAAGCTCAAAACGAGCTTGAAGAACTTTTTGAAACGGGCCCAAGAGGGTATATCCATTGGTAACGCCGCACAATTTTCATTACATGTCTATTTATTTATCATATATTAATCACAGATACATACAAAATTAGAAAAGGTAAATTTTTTTTTTTTTTTCATGTGTTACACATGTACAGAACAGCCGGCCTTTCCCCGTACCAAGATGTATCCGCAAGCGGGTTCCTTGAATCTGATATATTTTACATCGAAAGACCGGAAACCTGAAATTGCGAAACGCGAGGTGATTTTAGACAGAGATCTCACATCTGATGCGTCGCGCGGCGAAGCTGCGAATTCGATGAGATCGCGAAACATTATCTCAGAAATGAAGCGAAGAATATCGAACGAAAGAACGAAACAAGAAGCGTACGCTCGCGCCAACAAGTTGCAAACAAAATGCGATTCGCAAAAATTCAGTCGAACGAATGAATTACAGCGAAATATCGTAGATTACGTTACGGGCAACGAAGCGGTTGAAAATAAACTGGAGCGTAAAGGAAGTAACGCGGAAGAATCAATGCACAGGTATTGCGAATCGTTTCACAAGTGAATAACGCGAGATATGTGAATGTGTTAATATGTATCTAATATAACAAAACAGTTTCTCGTTCAGATACAAAATAATGGGATCGAGTTTGAACAACGTGATAAATCCAGAGAACACCTTTCAAGCTCTGTCCACGTCTCAGTTAGTCGCGTACAAGAAACAATACTACGACACACTGAACGTTCAACGGGCTAAAGGTTTATTAAAATTATTGATTTTTTTTTTTTTTTTTTTGTGTTGCGTACAATTTTTACCGAGTAATCCTTCAGATATGGTTCGCTGATACCTCGTGTGGAACATAAATGTGAATTACTTTCATTGCTTAAAAATTCTGTCACAGTCGCAGTAACGAATTCCCTAGCGTCTTCGGACAATCTGACGGTTTGCGACAACGCGTATTGCTCGAATTACAAGTGTCGACGGCAACATCTGCTTCATCAGCAGCGTCGCTTCGCGACGAGACCTCCGTATCCGACGTCGCTATCTGGATTGTCGGATCTGCGCAGCAATCAGTACAGTTGGGCGAGATCTGACTGTAAATATTTATTACTGAAGCAATTGCGACTTCAACAGGTGAGAAGAGCAAATAATTTTACTTTTTTTTTTGTAGATCATACTTATTTTTACTCACCCCGTATAATGTAATCGTTACAGACTTCGCCGTTATATTCCCGAAATCGAAGGTACGTTTTTCATCTCAACTGAGAGCTAAATATTACGATCCTCTTTTTTTAACACACTTGATTCTCTCGAATCAAGTATTCGTGATCATCACCGTGACATTATTTTGGTTTCTTTGGTTTTCAAGCGACTAGATTTGTCGCTGCGTCAAATCCGCACAATATTTCCGGTTCTTTCATACCAAACAGAAGATGTCAAACGACGCACTGGTCGTGTGAGTTTAGAAGACACAATCGAAAAACTGAAGAAATGCAGCAGTTTGTTGTTTCGCACTGGTTCGTTCAGAGAAGTTCCGTTGAACGGCAATTGAGAATTTAGTGTGCACGCGTGAATATTATATATACAATAGTTCCTTTTGTAATTTCTGTCTGACATTTGTTTGGATATCGAGATGAAGAGGACTGCGACTTAATGCAACGATAATACATTTTGATCACCAAAAAAGCGATAACCGGCTGTCCTTGCGTTAAGTCACAGAGTTAATACAACAGTAACTGTAGGAAAAACTCATATCATATGTATTGATAAAATATTTGGATAAACACACACATGATGTGTATATATATTTACACACATACTTATATATATATATATATATGTTTATATATATAAGCTCGACGTGAATCTCATTATAAAATGTTCACATTTCTCATCGCATTGAAAATAGTGTTGCTTATCGACTTGAAAAAACATTATACCGTGTCCTAGCTATTTGTGTTAGATTTCTCGTTAAGCGTTCTAATATTACGTGAGATATGATTCTTGTGAAATTCAACGCCCAACGGTTTTTGTTTTACTTATGATTGTGTTTACGTTTGCGTGACAACAGCTCTCCAATGACGTATATATATATATATATATATGGAACAACATATTGCAATTATCGTATTTAACACCATTTACAAACTGTTTCTTCTGTCCAAGTGAAGTTACACACAAGATTCACTCTAGTGACTAGATGTAATTCGTGTGATATTTTGTCGTTAATAACACAATTAGACGGTCACACACATACGCAAAAATCCACACGATCAACATATATATATATAATACTCGTCGTTCATTTATTCCTAAATGTACAAAATGAAGAGATTACGGGAGAACACTCACACTTGGGTGTTACATGACTCACATCGATCATTTATTGTCCGGATCGTCGTTCGATCGCTATCAGCACGACAGATTACCAAGATGTTCTGTCGACAGATAAATTGCTTAGTAATCCGTTCGGCTCGGTCTACTATTCATTCGTATTTACTTCAGCGAACACATTCAGTTGGCCGAATTTACCTAAAAGACTTTGTCTGTTTATAAATAACGTGTCGCTACAATTTGATGTCCACTCTAAGTATTGGCATCACATCACACTGTTCACTCACATGTAACTAAATATATGACGCTCTATCTCAATGTCCAAAATACATCCATAAATATCCAATAAAACACATTCAAAAAACACTCGAACAAGACGAACACTCTTACTTGTCTATTATTCAGCGAATGAAAATTTAGGCCAATTGAATCATCCCGTCGGGAGAGACGCACAAGTTGACAGGAATTTACACAAATTCTGCAAACTTCAATTTCTCAATTTTTTTTGAAACCTTTGTAAAGAACGCGTTTCATACAAATTTAGCACAAACTGATGTTAGACACTGGCGTCTGATTTCCTGTCAATTTGTTTGTCGGTTCGCTCGAGATTTCGAGAGGATATATCAGATCATGTACAGGCTTGGATTGTCAGGTCATAAAAATTGGATAACATCATTAACATTACAGGTCACTTGATCGAGTTAAGTATGTAAAGAAAACTTTACCACTTCTATTTAATACAGTAATTAAAATTTATTGCCTGAATATAATAAATATTTATTTTCATACAAACTCTACTAGCAAAAACAGTGCTTCAAATATATATCACAAACCATACAACTATTTTATTAACTTCGTTGAAGCAAATAATTTTTGTAAATGTTAAAGTGAAACACGTGGCAGCTTACGTTTTTAATTGCAGCAACAATTAATGATTTCAATCAAGTTAATTCGATTTTTTACACGATGGTATTTGACATGACATATCAATATAAACTACAATGAGCTATATTGTTTTTTTTTTTCTGGCAGTGTCTGTACATTTATTTTTAATTTTAATCCAAACTAATTTATATCTCTTACCCATAACGCATTTTATTCACGATTAATTGCTCTAAAATATTTATTTTGAAACACTTTCAAATTTTCCAGCGTGCTATAATGATGAGCGATATATATATATAAAACAAAAAATTACGTCACATTTCTGATATTACACATCCAGTAGAACAAGTTTATGACACTATTAATATTTGCCACAACGAAGCTGCATTTATACGTTGGTATTGTTCCTTACGACTCTGTACGTGAACACACACATTATTCTTACATTAATTTAATTTACTTAAAATCGACACATCAACTTTCGATAAATGTGTTTCCCGTGTGCCTGTTCGCGAGATTTGTGTTTGTTTACATTATTCGCGCTTTGTTGTATAAAAAAGATCTGAGTTGCTTTTTTTTTTTTTTTTTGGTATCGTGGTCGTGGAACATTGAACAATGGAGAAACGAGGTATCAGAGAAATTCATTCCGAGGATTGATATGATGCCATTGCATCATCAGAGAAAGAGCTTGAAACGATCGATCAAGAGAAACAAGCTCTCAACAATTGTTCTAGAATAAATTGTACTTCTAATGTATATATAATAATATACGCGATATGTATAATACTAAAAAATATCTTGTTCTTTAATATTAAGGAGACATATACTTGTACAAAAAAGACTAGAGTTTAACGGAACATTTGCATTGAACTATTAAGTTAACGATGGAATGTGTAAGTTCTATCATCTTTTCTTAAACAATATTATAATGAAGAAAACAAACAGAGTTGAAAAAAAAGCAAAAAATTGTTTTTGTGTGTTTCATAGGAATTTGTTGTTACACATATGCAAATTTGAAAATAAATAGATGAGGTATGATTGCGCGGGCAGCAGTTAGAATCGCCATTTTTAAAAGATCGGTCTAGCTACTGCGTGAGTGTACGTGTGCATTTATACCTTTAAATTTTTCTAAATGGACTTCAATATTCACACGTTTGTTTTGTTGCATCTCTCAAACGATACTTGTGATTTCTCTACACGTGTGAAAAATTTCTTTTTTTTTTTTTGTTTTTTCACGTATGCTTCAAAATACGTTGGCATCAAAATACAATAGAAATGACTAGTTAAACATATATACACATACCGATGTGCTATATAGTGATCTTATGTACTTACAAACTCTCGTTTCAAAACTTACTTAAAATTATTTGGTACATGATTGGAATAAAATGGCGTTGTTATTTGCTTATCAAAGTTGGGCAGTCTTGGTTTTGTATGATGCAAAACGTCAGGACCCCGACTAAAGAAAATCTATCTTCTTGGCAGCGAAATGTACAAGGCAGCAATAACTTTATACAGGATCTTAAATCTTTGGATAGTATTTTGTTTTGTCCTGCAAAATTTGATAAGGACAAAAATTTGATAAATCTCATAACAATTCGACTATGATCTTTTTTTTTTGTTCATCTCTGTTTGATGTTATATGAGGTGCTAACAGAATATATTATATGTATATATATATATATATTTACAGTTTTTTTAAATCACATCTGGTTTCACGCACGGTTGAAAACAGATGCAAAATGTAAAACCGAAATACAGTTTTTCTATTGATCGCTGTGCAATGTGTAACACAAAATGTGTTCGAAATCAAAATTTGTACATGCACAAACAGAAAAAAAAAAAAAAAGATTTGCAATTATATGATATAAGTGTCAGAGAGTAATACTTTAATTATAATTGTAGTTTAATAGAAAAAATTGTTTACTAAATATATATATGGATATACTTGATTTATAAAAAATTTATTACGTTACTGTTACGCGAAAACAGTTGAACAAGTTTGTTTCTTTTTAGTTTTTACCTAACGTGTGTGCTTCTTATTTCAAGATCAGGCAAAGCTATAAGGATCGATGGTTTTGCTAGAGCAAGGTTGAACATCATCTGGTGGTGGGTGCCACTGTCCGGCTGGTTTTGCGAACATGGTATTACGAACTGCCACGTTCACGTCAGCAGCCTCTTCTACGCCGTTGCTAGACGTACATTCTGTCTCCCAGTTTCGAAGACCATTTCGAGTCACTCGATTGACCGATCTAGTCTCGTTTACAATCACAACATTTACATCACAACAGTTCTGTGCGTCATTGTTTTGTATTACTGACATTTGCTTAGTTTTATTACTAATTTGCGTACTATTATTTCTATTTTCGGCGTCGGACCACGATTGAGGTTGCGCCATTGTGGATTGTTGTAAAGGTAATTTTCGGGGTACCCGCCTAGTTTTAGTCTCATCCACACTACCGCGACTAGCGTCAATCTTACTGCTACTCAGCGTATTTCCATCAACGGTTGAACTACTGTCACCCTCTTTTCTCCGTTTTCTTCGTCTCCTCTCGATCTCACTGTCATTGGGTCTCCTTGTTAATCGCATCTCGTCCTCCTGTTGGGACTCCTCATTATTCGTATGTGTGTCTAAAATATGCTGTTTGGCCGTAGCCCAGTGGTCCTTTCTGTTGGCGCCCTGCTTGAATCTTTCATGATTACTACCGCGATGGCCGCCGTTACTCGTATTCGTATCACTGTCCGTATTACGTTTTTTCGATTGTTGCTGGTTCTTTACAGCCCACGAGGCAGGTCTCTTGGGACTGCGTTCCTTCAAAGTGACCTGCGTTTTAGATCGCAATTTACGCTCTCAACTAAAAAGCGATATTTGCGCTATGAAACACTCTGGTTACTTACCCCAGAGGAAGAAGAATCAACAGGCTTGTAAAGCTGCGTCGGTGTGTTACTACGAGAATCCTGATCCTTACTGGAACTGTTGCGACATTGTATCCAAGAAAGTAAAAATGCGAAGAGAGCACATGAAAGTCCTAACCCTGCCGCAGCAGACAATTGCAAACGTGTGCTTTTCGGTACCTCTTGGTGCCAGCCACCGCTGTGATATTCCCATACTGTACATGCTAGTAATGCGCTACTCGCGGTAAACGACAAGCCTATACCAGTGAATACTATAGCGTTCTATAAGAAGCAATAAATTCTATGTACATCAACAGTATCAACCACAGATTGAGTGTATGCGTATGTGCTGTAATATATCTAGTAATACAAATAATTATCATATTTCTGAGTCGTCCAATAGCCAGTATCACTTACCAGCTTAGCCCAATTCAAAGGAAGGATGTAAATAACGTGCGAAATATCAAGGAAGAGTAGAACTGCAGTGATCAACAAACAGAAAACAGCTACAAAGATCATGACCCGTAAACGGCCTGCTAAAGGCAGCATGAAAAGGCTGACCTTGGTGGTGCCAGAAGTGCATAAAGTTGCCAAACAAGCTGCAGAGGATATCTACGAAATATACTCATTAATTTATTCAATGAAAAAAAAAACATCTTACTCACTTAAGCATATAATTTATATTACTTCACAAAAATGGACTTTCTTTTATATATGTGTACACTTACAAGTAACAAAAGTCTAACAACTCCCGTAGCTGTCTTAAGATGCCCCCGTATGTCACAGTAAATAACCACATGAGCGCGGGACCAAGGCAGAGCATTGGATGAAGAGCCAGGCCTGTGATCACTATTACCATAGTGACCATGATAGTTAGCATGTGAGTCCCAAGAATGGACAGTTGAATGGACCCCCGGCGAATCCAGCTCCGATGATTGGGAGCTGATTCGCCCCCCTGTCCTACTGCCTGCTATTGATACAATATCCAAACCATGTACACATTCTTATGTGCGTAAAATTACATAGGGTAATCTAATTGTTAAATAAAGTGAACAAGACAGGCAGTTAGTCAGAGATTGTGTTCGCAATTACATATTATCTTGAGATGAGCAGTTCCAGAAGAGCAACCATAAAGTAATTATCAACTCAGTCCAAAACGTTACGAACGAAACTGTGCACCTAGATTTACGCAAACATTAATTAAACTGCAGTGATTACCAATCTCGAAGTCTTGAATGTCTTCGGGTTTAGAATATATGGCGGGTGGTGGTTCCAGGTCGCGTATCTCTTCTAACAGAAGCACCTCTATCTCGTCGGCTGCGTATAAGTCCGAGACCGAGCGAATAGGATAATGCCGAGTCTCGCTCATTACTTAGGTGCGCTCGCTCATTTACTCCTTCCTGCCTCCTGTCGTATCTGTCTGTTTGACCTGTTAGTGACCACCATTCATTGTTTAGTCGATTGGATAACAGGTCCATCCGTACATAAGCCATCGCCTGCACATACTGCACGTCATTTCTTTCTTTGCAGGCAACAGTATTTCTCCTGCCTTCTGGCCACACCTGTTGAAAAGAAATTAGTTATACAACAAAACTGTTCATAAAGTTAAATATATACTGGATACATATTGCGGCTATGACATTTACACATATGCTTCTTTTTATTAATTACATTTTTTTTATTTTGCATATATAAATTTGCGGTCAAAAGTTTCTTTTTGGTTTTGTTCAAAATATTATATATTTTTTTTTTTTTGTTAGAAACGTAAATGTCAGATTTTTACAGGTACGTTACCGCGACGAGAGAGAGAGAGAGAGAGAAAGCACATAACACTCGTTTAAAACAAACACAGAACGTGTTCTCATCGTGTGTCAATAAGTGCCGTATGTATATATAGGAGATTAAAAGTGCAAATGAGCAATGGCAGTTTCTTAGATCGTCATGCGATTGAAAAATTACATGACTTGACGCGCACGATGCGAGGGTTCAGCGGCAATGTGAGATGTTTTTTTTTTTCAGGCTGTTTGTAACAAATCATGTTTTTCTATAATTGAATTATTTCCGTCGCTGCGAGATCCACATGTGGTTGCCAAAGTGCATTTTCATCGCGGAATCCCATGCGCGCAGCCGTCCCGGAAAGATCCGCGCTACGTCAACGAGGGAGAATTCGCGAAACATACCTCGGATTTACGTTCCTCGATTGCGATTAGATCACATTTTTCTGAAATTTTTCACGATGAGCTTACTGACTATCCAACGGGTAGTCGCCATTGCCTTTTTATTGTTTTTGCCCATGATCCGCGTTCGTCACGATAATCTAAAAATAATAGATGGTATTTTCCGATGGTTACGACCAGCAGAGAGAAAGCCTGAGAGCGGTCATAGTCGCGAATTTGACGATCTTCCCGTTCACGAGCGCCTCGATGTCCACGTTCCGTGCACACGAACTACGTCAATAACAAGCCAAACCGTTTTGACCACTCTCACATTCTTCTCCCTGCCAGCCGTTTTTTTCTTATGTCAAATCGCAGCTACTTTCACGCATATATGTATACATAGGTTATTTGACGTGTTGTGTCACACACAACTTGTGAAAAATTTATTTAATTTGAGTGAAAGGAAGCCTAACGCAGCACACATTATCTTAAGGAAGGATCTGTCTGCGTGCGAGTTAAGGGTGTTTAAAACGATTGGAATTGGCCGAAAATGTGGTGCTAGTGATGCGTCTCAAAGGAAAAAATAACACAAAGTCATTTAACAGAGTTTACAGGGTGTTTTCTCGTTTATGCCGTGAGTATTTCCCGAAGCAATGTTTTGCTAATTGAATCGCAAGTGAAATTGATAAAAAGTGTATTCTATCGGTACAATTATAGCATAAAATGCTATATAAGAGTAAAGCATAAAATTTGTTATTTTGTTTTTACATTCTATAAAATTCTGAAAAAATATGTCACAAATATATTTTCAACAAATTTAAATGTTCAAAAGTTATAAAAATATAAAGCACATAGTATTAAATGTATTAAGTATATATTAGTGAACTGGTACAAATTTGGTGGATTTTTCCACAGGATCTGTTGATAAATCACAACTAGATGGTTTGATGGCGGATAGTGTGGCACCAACACTGAAGAATGGCCACAACTCAAATATGGGTTTCAGTCAGTCGGTGAAACAACCCTCGGACATGTCCAGTGTTGTTTATGCTGTGGGTCATTATCCACCAAAGCTTTTACACAATCTCAATGCACAGAGGCTAAAGGATAAATTTAGTGATGTGGGATTGGTGGCTGGTGGCAGAGTCATCAGAGCTCATAGATCAGTTCTGGCTGCTGGTAGTGCCTACTTCAATGCCATGTTTACAGTCGGCCTGGTTGAGGAACAACAAGAGCTTGTGGAGATCCATTCAATCTCTCCTCACATTCTCTCACAGCTGGTGGATTTTATCTACAGTGGCAACGTGGACATCACTCAGGATAATGTACAGGAGCTATTTGCTGCCGCAGACATGCTGGAATTAGATGATGTAGTAGCAGGATGTATTGATTATCTCAAACAGCAGCTGCATTATTCTAATGCTCTTGGAATTTACAGGTGAGATTTAAATTATTTAGAAGATATTTATATTAATAACAGGATGTGTGTGAAAGTGTACAATGTAAAAATTTTATTGTTGCAGATTTGCAGAAGCTCATAACAGAGTGGATCTTTTGGAAACTGCCCTACGTTTTATAGAAGTCAATTTTCCTCAAGTCTGTCAGGAAGAAGAATTTCTGGATCTGCCCAAAGAATATCTCGTTCAGTTTCTCAGTAGTGATTACATTCACATTGACACTGAATGTCAGGTATATTTTAAATGTCAATTTTAAACACAATCCTGCATTAATACAAATTTTTCAGATTTAAAAATACAAAACAATTATATATAAAAAAAAATCAGAAGAGAAAGATGTACAAAAAACATGTACATAATTTACATATATATATAAAACAACAAAAACAAAATATAACAATTTTTTAAAACTTTCACTTAGGTCTTCCAAGCTGCGTATAATTGGATTGTTCATGACATCCCCGCGCGTAGATGTTACGTATTTGAGATTCTTAGCTACATACGCTTGCGATTGTGTTCATTAGCAAGGCTAGAGCGCATTATCTTGGAATGCAAAGATGCGAGTCTCATTGTTGCACTGCGCTCGATACAGAAAGATTTAGTCTCAAATAAAGGTTGTCTAGTGCCTCTACATGCTCAACCTCGTGTTTGCGCCAGAAAGAACATCCTGGTGATCGGTGGATCTAAACGAGAGCAATCCAATAGCTGGGGCAGAACTTTTGAGAGCACTTACGAAACTATTGAGAAATACGACATATTCACTAGGTAGGACAACAATATTTTATTTCTCTCGCCAAACAGCTTTTGATTACTAGATAGAATCGTGACATAAAAGGTACCTCACACATAAGGCTTCTTTTTAGTGTAATTAATCAATATTTCTCTAGAGAGTGGAGCGAAGTGGCTCCAATTAGTATAGGACGCATTTTACCTGGAGTGGCTCTGTTAGACGGCAAGGTTTACGTTGTCGGCGGTGAACTAGAATCTTGCATAATCGCCAACTGCGAATGTTACGATCCCCGTGACAACGTATGGACTCCGATAGCGTGCATGGAAGAGCCTAGATGCGATTTCGGTCTTTGTGCTTTGGACAACTGCTTATACGCATTTGGTGGATGGGTAGGCGAGGACATAGGTGGCTCTATTGAGATATATGATCCAATCACTAATACTTGGACTCTCGACGGTTATCTCCCAGAACCACGGTTTAGCATGGGTGTTGTTGCATATGAAGGTAGTAATTGTTGGCATATAAATCCGTTAAAGAAAGTTACGCCGAAAATTTTTACAGGATTAATTTACATCGTGGGTGGCTGTACTCATAACAGTCGACATCGTCAGGATGTGATGAGCTATAACCCTGTGACGAGGGAATGGAATTATTTAGCTCCGATGCTCACACCGCGTTCACAAATGGGAATCACGATTCTCGACGGGTACATGTATGTCGTCGGCGGCACTAGTAAAAATCAGGAAGTCTTGACGTCTGTTGAAAGATACTCTTTCGAGAAGGTAATTTATTTCTTGTTTTTAAAATAAATAAAATCGTGCTTTTATTGGTTTTTTTGTTTCTGTGTATTTTTTTTATATACGTATATTTTGCAACATTTGTATTTTAGAATAAATGGAATGCCGTCGCTTCTATGAGTATGGGTAGATTTTATCCGGCTGTTGCGGCAGCCGACAGTCGGCTCTACGTCATAGGCGGTGACCAATCACAGGAAATAAATTTTTACCGCACGCAGATCACTATTTCCACTGTCGAATGTTACGATCCACACACGAACAAATGGCATGAATGCGCCTCCTTGCCATCGAGCAGAGGCGAGGCGACGGCGATTGTTGCACCTTTCTGATCGATATTTTGCAACGTCTCGTTCCGTTCATCATACCAGGTTATCTCCTCTCATTTTTTCAACTTACTAAAATTTTCCTTTTTTTAGTTTCTTTTCCATATTATCTGAGAGCATTGTATCTATTTGTTAGATAGATTCTTGTGAACACGCTAAGAATTGTAGTTCTGTTCAGTAATATTTTAGATTTTAAATACTTAAAAAATTTATATACACGAACGTCAACAAAAATTTTTCTGTATTGTTTATTCATTTAATTGGAAAGTTTAGTACTCAAACAATACTTCTGATTTCAGATCATATCTGTAACACTATATATCTCGTTGCAAAATATAAAGTCTGAGAAAGCATGTACTACGCATATGCGCAGAAAGACGATAACATTCAAAGACACATTTAACATTCGATTTAACACTCGAATAAAAACAGAAACTATTTTTCTCTTTTAAAAGTGTTTCGTTCCTCTTACACGTGGGAAAGGAACTACAATTCGATCGGCATTCGAGAAGTATACAATATAATTCGATAAAAACAATCCCAAAGAAAGTAAAATTTATTGGAATTTTTGAAGAGTTACATAAAAAGTTACGAACTCTGTCTTAATACATTAATTTAATCTTATGAGCACATGTAACAAGTGAATTAAACAAAATGATTGTAATTAGAAATTGTATAGCAGAATTATTGTACGTTTTGTTTTGCTATTTATGTTACATAGATCGGATTTTAAAACGTGCGAATGGATTTGAAAACAACAAATATGATTGTAATAATACCATATACAGTTTACACAAGTACTCAATACTTTTATTAATTAACGATAAGTATTAATCACGTGCGTTAGAAAGGACTGAGCCTCTTTATATATAATATAATAATAATAATTATATATATATATATATATACATTATATATATACATATACATAATGTCACAAATAAATATTGATATATAATTAATTATATATATATATATATATAACCAAAGTTATAATATTTTTAATTCCTTACAAGTTAACAAATTTTCATTAAACATAATATGTATGTGTGTAAAACTGATATAAGATGATTCCAAAGATGCAATATTTATATAATTCCGAAACTTATAATGTGGTCTAAAAAACATAAGACACATACAAAAAGAACAGTTTAAGCATTTAACGGAAAAAAACCAAATCAGATTTGAATCCAAGAGTTAAAATCCGTAAAATAATTAGACTAAAATTGAAAAGTTCTAGTGTCTTTTAAATGTAAAAATTCACATAAGTTCTTTTAAAACTTTGAACTTAAAAGAAAGAAAATTAATTTATTTCAGCAACTATAGAAACATTACGTAAACATTAATCTAAGAATCATAAGGTACATATTTACATTGAGAAAAAGTTGATTGAAAATTTTTACGATCTTTAACTCTTGATATCTGGTGTTTTCAGATCGAAGAATTCAAAATTTTCAGAACATACTGTAATAAAATATAATGGCGGTTCTTATATATAATTAAAGTATGAAATGTTGCGCACTCTGTGAATGTTTTGTAATATTTAAAAACACTTATACATTTTGTAAAATTGTTCCAAAAATATCTCTTTCTCTCTTAAAGAAAATCGATTGTTCATCTCGGTAATCTAAATTCAAGTATTATAATTAGTATATTATCTATAGAACAGATAGTCGATTAGATTCTTCATTGTTTTGTCATACATAGAAAGAGTACGAGAGAGGAAGAGGCAGAGGGGTAAATATGACTGAGATGATCTTGTTGGACAATTGATCTACGAGTGTTCTCCGCGATTTAAGATTAGGTTTTTTCGACTTATCGTCTCAACAATTTGCTTATTGTAGGATAAAATGAGATACAAATGCGATTACAAATTAGTCTATGAGATTATATTAGTCTTTCGTTATATGTGTGGTTCTAATTTATAAAACATAATATATATTAAATAAATATTAAAAGCTAATTGTGAGAGTATACATGAAACTAATGTAGAGAATATACATGAAAAACTTGTGATGTAAATCCTTAGATTGAGCTGAATCAATCATCTCTGCGAAGCCACGGGAAAACGTGCAAAAAAAAAACTTGAAGCAATGAGATTTAAGGAATTCAATCAGGAATTGTGGACGTTTTTGAACGTATATTTACATTTGAAAGAATGATGATCTGTAATTGATTGATGTGCAATTGATTTGCTTAAAATTGCAAGTTTCTGGCTTGTTAGAAAGATCGAACAATGAAATTAAAAAAAAAAAAAAAAAAAAAACCAACAATCTATGGATTTATACGTATTTACGAATACAACGATATATATATGTGTATATGCAAATATATAAAGCTAAGTTTTTAAATTAATTTTTATAATTGTTAAAAACTCTCTGATCTTCAAAAACTGCTAAGATTTATAAGACAATTGAGAAACCACAGGCATCTAGCATGTTTATCCTTCTTACAAAAAATAAATTATTAACACAGGTTTAGAGAAATCACGAGATGATAAATATATACAACAATACGTATATGTGTATATTTGTGATCAATTAATAAAAAAAAAACACTTCTAATACATATCGAAGTAATTCACATCTGCTATTATATACATGTTTTGAAGAATATATATTCGTTATTAGATGTGTAAATCAATTTGGTGCCTTTTCTGACAAAATTCAAACTTGATTTATGGATCACGTAGTACATACATTAATTGTCAAATTTAGTGATCAAAATAACGCTTCTTTTATCCGCCAATTAAGGTTGCTTTTCAGCAAAGAAACAAATAGGTACGTGCGGCTGTATGTATACGGCATAAGACCGTCCCGACCAATGAGCATTTAGAACAGCTTTAGGTTTTGATCTGAAAAGTGGCAACTGCATTCAGCAGAACAAACCGCTCTGTATCAATTGAATGTGAATTGGCTCTTGCTTTTAGAACCAATTGATCAACGTCGAGTGTTGACAAGACGACAACTCGGCAAGTGTTCTGCTGAACGCGCGCATCATGTTACATAGATGCTCATTGGCCAAGTCGATGCACATCAGCAGCAGGTTGGATTGCATCAGCCGTATCGGTTGGGTGTGCGTAGTTACGCTGTGGATATTTTTGGACAATTGTCGGTGTTTTACATCACATTTTCGGTGTTTTACACCATTTACTTTATTATTATCTGTTAATTTAAACGAATATACAACTCCCCGTGGCTTGGCGTCAGGAACCCAATCCACGGTTTTAAACTCATCATCAAAAATACGTAGAATGGCGTATGGACTAGGCTGTGTTCAGTTAAGCAAGATGGAACAAACTAATGCAGGAAATGAAGGAAATACAGGAATTCATTAGTTCCAATTCCTGTATTTCCTGCATTTCCTCCATTAGTTCGTTCCATCTTGCTTAACTGAACACAGCCCTAGCTTTATAGGTCCACTGAGCCAAGAGCACCAAACCAAATCGCACATCAGCCAGCGCGGTCTGGGTGGAAGGTGGAGGGACTGCGAGACATGGAAGTCCCGAGTTTGAATCCGCTCAACATCCTAGGATTTTTTTCCGGGCCGGTTCCTTTCAATCGAGTTTATCGTTTGAAAAAGCGAACTAAATCGAGCTTCCAAGCACTCACATGTACGAATCGGAGAAAAATATAGACTTAGAATAACTTACTGCACACACAAATCAGAAAAAATATAAGACTTAGAATGGCGTATGGACTAGCTCTTAAAAAGTCCCTTGAGCCATAAATGCACCAAACCAAAAAAACTAGCACATCAGCAGCACATGTAGCTGTGTATGCCATTTTGTGTACAACTGCCACAGTGCTGTGGCGGATTACACATTCTGCGGATTCTCTTATAGCTCTGGGCTGTCTCAGTCTTTTCTATATTATACGTCTATGTGATAAATTGAGACCGAACGCGGTGTTCGTGGATGTTGAAAGACTGAGGTTAGTGACGTTTAAGTTTTATTGTTAATCAAATTTGTTATCCCCAGTTTGAATCCTAACCTTACATGTCGGTTGTCAGCTTGACCTCGTGGAAAGAAATTAATTTTCATGTATCTTTAAATGCTATTTTTCATTCTTTTTTTTTAACGATATCGCTACTTATCAAGTTTACGAGCTCTTGATTGTAACCTGGACGATTTTATAAATAACAAAAGTAGTTTGAAGCAACTTTTATTGACCTTTAGAGAGAGAGAGAGAGAAGGAGAAGGAGAAGGAGAAAGAGCTTAAATTAACTCTAATGTGTCTATTGGAAAATATAAAACATAAAGAATTTATAAATAAAACATCTTTTAATAAGATGTTACAATGGCAGTGTGGGCTTTTTATGTAATAATGTAAATATTTAATTTCAGAATTTTATGAGATAAAAAGCATGATCAATAAAAATTACTGTAAGAATTATTGTCAATTTTAATCAAGTTGAGTTGTTTATTTAGTGATATTGATGATAAATACTAACTTAGATTATTAATTTAAAATATAGACAGGAATTGTTGCCAATACAAATAATCTTTATTTTATATCTTTCTTTTTTTTTCTTGCATAGAACAGCAAGATTCAAAGCCAGCATTGACACTGAGCTGCACTTTACTCATATTAATAAATATAAAATGTTTAATAAGAAAACTTTATATTTTTAGGTTCGTACTAAAAGCAAGCAAAACTCAACACGCCCATCAGGCCTATTAAATCTCCCTGTCCCTGCGCCTAAAGCCCTGACGTGGCTCACGAGCTGGGCGCTGGGCCAGGCTACACAACGCCAGACTGGTGAGTTCCCACACACAATATCGCTTGGTAGCACGGAGGACACTCAAAATTCAACTAACAATGTCTGTACAAAGTGTTGCTCTGGCCTCTCTCACGGCAACGTATACCGACTCGGAGGGCGAGGACGGGGTAGAAGACGAACGCCCACAGGAGGAGAAATCGACCCCACAGGGGGCTGCCCCGCATAATGCCCAAGTCGGTCGTCAATCCCAGGCCCGATTTGGCACCAGTCCCATATCTGGAGGCCGTTCAGCCTCGCATAGTCCCGCTGTCAGCAAGTTCGCGTCCGGTACTAGCGACTTGCCTGATACGACCACAAAGGTGCAGCGATTGGTCTCTTATTTTGATGATTCGGTAGTCTCCGATGACGAGGGGGCGGTCGTTATTGCGCCAACGGCGTCTTCGCTGTCGTCGTCGTCGTTGACGACGGCAAGTGCAGTAAATGCTTCGACGGTCGTGGAACTTCCCGAGGAAAATGGTATCTTACCCACGGCCACCACTGGCGCTGTTACTGCTACCACTGCCGCTGCCGCCGTCGTCACCGCCGACGGCGTTGAGCGCCGATCGCCCTCCTCGCGTCTTGGAGATTTGCTTTCAGATAATAGCGGCGAGGCGGATCCTAACGATGTGACAATACCGCCGGAGCCGCCGGGTCAATGTCCTGCCGAGTTACAAGACAAAATTACGAGGCTATATCGCAGGATGGAGAGTGGAGGACTGGATATGAATATGTTAATTCAGCAACGCAAGGAATTTCGAAATCCTTCGATTTACGAGAAACTCATTCAGTTTTGTAATATCAACGAGCTGGGTACAAACTATCCGCCAGACAGGTTTGATCCGTTCAAATGGGGTAAGGACTCGTACTACGAGCAGCTAGCTATGGTACAAAAAACTGAAATGGACAAACTCGAGAAAGCTCGCAAAGAAAAGACGAAAATCGAGATCGTATCGGGAACTGCGAAACGACCCAACAATTCCTCCGGTGGTGTCGAGGATGTCGATGCCAAAAAACGAAAAAGTAAGTGGGATCAGGTGGCAACCGGCGGTGTTGCTGCTGCTGCTGCAGTTGCAGCCGCCGCTGCTGCCGCCGCGACAGCGAAACCCACGGTACTTCTTACGCAACCAACGTTGACGACCCTCGCGTCGTCCACCACCGGCGCCAAACCTACCGTTATATCAGCTTTCGGCTCACTGCCGAAAAAGAGATTGTAACATATCTGTAATAAATGCGTGCTCTGTAAATAATGTCGATTGTTGAGGAAATGATGTTTTCTTCGTTAGACAATTACGAGACTACGAAAAGAAACGCGATTCTGTTTCTAAGGATTTAGATCTTGATTTAGATGATTTTAGATTTGTTGCAATTACTATTTATGTTTGAGCAATATTTTTGATATTTTGTGATGTTGAAGTTAAATATTTATAATGTAATTAAAACGCAAACTTAAACACAAAGATGCAAAAGTAAAAATTACATAAAAATTTTAGTGTTGTTAAAAAGTTAAGCATTTAAACTAGATAAAATTTCTAGATTCTTGATTCTATTTCTTGATTCTTGATTCTGAGATCTAGATTCTTGCGCACACTTTTCAATTGTAAAAAAATTCGACATTTGTGTTTGTACATTTATTTAGATCCTTAGATTCGCATACAAGCTCTTGAACTGTAAGATACATACAACGTTTTTTATCGAATACGTATGAAAATAACATTGTTCACCGACACGAAGCAAGCGATCTTCTGGAACGATTTATAAATCCGAGAATGTGCAAGAATCTAAGAATCGTAGAATCGTAGCTCGTATATCTAACTATAGAAGACCCCAGTAATCGTAGATTAAAACTAAATGTATTGTAAATAATGTCACAGTTTATATAATATAACTTAGGAATTCAAATGATTACAATATTCATTAATCGAAAAAATTCGAAGATATAAATAATTCCAAAGACTCAATATGATCAAAGAAGAGAGAATTTAGAAAAACGATGTAAGAAAAGAGGCGTACGGAGACGTTGATGTAAATTAAAGACACATTTTAATAAATTGTGCGCACTTCTACATATATATTTATACAAAAAAACGTATACGTACGAAGTATATACATACATATAAACATACACACACATACATACACCTACATAAAAATATATATATGTATACATATATGTATATTTAATTTATACAAATATACATATATGAAAAATAAAGTCTAAACAAATGGGAAATGTTTCCGGAACAACTGCCGCTCGAATCTCAATAACAGAAATCATTACCATTTTTTATCTTGGTTACTTGACTTTTGTATACTTTGAAATAATATATTGCATAATGACATATATATTTTGTACATTCGATATATATTATTATAGTACATGTAGGAATAGTGCATTTTTAAAAGCGCACACTTTGCCAAATCAATGTCGAGAGAAATATGTTACGTAAAAATTCTAACTATCAACCACCGGGTTTTTATATCTTGTTTAGACTTCTCTCTCTCTGCGGATTTCTGTGTGTGTGTATGTGTGTGCGCACGCGCGCTTCACAAGACTCTTAAATTATTTTTTTTTTTTTTCATTTACGATAATTTGTTATTCTATTTTTTATTATACAAACGAAACATCACACGCAACATGAAGGCCAAATTATTAATCAATCTTTCGATTCAATATTTATGTGTGCGTTAGATGCAAAAAAGAAAATATCTTGAGTGTTGCCACACTTAATCTGTTTTCTTTTTTCTTTCTCGGTGATTAAGATGTAATTGCTTTTTATATGAGATTAAAAAAAAAAAACTTTAACATTATTAAGGCTCCTCAATACTCGTTGCAACTGCATATTAAAATTGTGACAAAATGAAAAATTTATATGAATTTTTGTCCCGCAGTTTGTACAAAACTGAACTGATAGTTCTAAATATGCCGTCGCCGATATTCGAAAGCGTAAATTGGTGAAATCTGCCAAAAAAAAAAAAAAACAATCTACTCTTTTTTGTGTGAGTACGATTCAATCTGTAGCGTATAAATTTTTCAACCAAAATTACGCTTTCGAGTATCGTGTATAAAAATAAGTTTATTTCGAAGTTTAATGCGACAAAACTTTGTATAATTTCTCATCTCCAACGGCATAATTCAATACAATCGGAACGAGTATTCCGGAACAACAAATTTTACAGTGATGTAATAAAAAATTGATTTTGTTTTACGCAACTCTTCCATCGCTGAAACAGAAAAAACGATTGGACAAACTTTTTGATGAATTCAATATATGCGTACTTATTACATGTACATACGTGTGCGCTAGAAACAATAATATCAAATTCAACGCGTTATATATGTGTATGTATAATTGATTTTTTCACGCAGGACCACATTCTACAGCAGACTCATTGATGTAACAAATAAAATTATCAAATCTCAACGTTTGAGATAGACAAAATAAAGAATTTATGTATGTGTTAAAAAAGAAACAGAACACACACAAAAAAAAACTCAATGTAAGACGCAATGTAAGTTTAAGAAGAATTCATTTTTTTATATGAGGAAGCAATGAAATTCTCTTTCACAAAAGACTTTGTATATACACGCTCATGTCACATAGAGTATGGAATATACAATATACAACTCAGTAACTGAATACTTTTTTTTGTTATTGATTAATAACAAATGTATGATGTAATGTTTTTTCCCTGTCATATCCGAAGTTGCCGCTGTTGATACCGGCGCGCGGTGTTGAGCGTAACTATTGTACCAATAATTTTGATAGATAACAAAAAAAACGACCAATATCTGAATTACTTTTTTTTTCATTTTCATCGCAGCGACCACTTTGGATCTTCCCAAACTAGTCACACGAGATCGTCCTTGACAGTGGAGTGTAGTACGGATTTGTTCGATAACGTAGTACTGCGCGTGCGTATAGCGAATTTTTAGTCGTAGACATTTGATTTCTCGTCAAAGATAGCGAAAAACAAAAATTTTCAACAAGACCATAAACATTAAAAAGTAACTATTCGAACGCAAACGTGTCAAAGGTATGTTTTATTGCATTCTGTACGTGTGTGTTTTATAATGTAATGATACATGTACACAATGTGATGACCGATAAGGGTGTCGTTTTTATTGTGGCACATTTTGATTTTTTTTTTTAACAACAAACTTATATAGAATTTTAATCAAAGTAACAATATATGGCAAATAAATAATATGCAATGATATAAGCGCGCGATATTAATTTTCAAGGATATAAATTACACAAGTGTGATAATTCAAATTAAATTTAATTTAAAAAAAATCTCATATCTCGGCTTGTATTGTTATTATTTTACAATTTGCAGATACATAAAGATCCTCGAGAGTTGATTTTTTTTACATGCATAATGTCAGTGTTAGGAAAGAGAGCAACTATAATTTATACAAACCTGTAAATTAAAAGTAAAAATTTTCAAATCTATAATATTATTATTATCTATAATATTATAATATTATTATATTACTAATTAATATTTACAAAAATAATATACAACGTAGTGTCTCTTATTTTCCTTTCTCTCTTTCCATGAAAAAAAATTTGTGATTTGTTTTTTTTTTATAAATTATAAATTTGTGTTTCCGCGTGAGATATGCGTGAAAAAAACGTTCTAGGCGTATGTTTCGCTACATCGGTTATTTACTTTCGTCAGAAGTTCGACGTACAAAATTTTGTGGAAAAGTTATAGCGCGTAGTATATTTACACTGTTCCGCGTATTTTTTTATGGCTAGTACATCATTTTGCAAGAGAGTAAATTTACATTAATATTGCATCTTATTATTTGTTTATTCCTATTTTATGAGAACTTTTCGAGTTCTTTCTTGATCGACGCGATCAAAGGCACCGCGGGATCATCCGGAGGAAGTTTGCCCTCCGTCAATATACGCCTGGTGTCCACTTCCGGTCTGTGGAACGGACCTGCGCTGAGCGGCCTCGAACCCCAGGCACCGCGAGGATGAAGTCCAGCCTGGCCTGTTTCCGGAATATCCTCTCTGAGAGCTCCGTGTGGTAATGATGTGCGGGGTCGTGTACTTATTTCCATCGTAGACTTCGTTATCGGGCTGTAATGTTATTACAAATAAAAATGTTAAAACGTTATATATATAATGTACATCTTTCATAAGCTCTCCTTCGTTATATATATATATATATATCATTTTCTCTTCTTTCTCCTCTTTTTTCTTTCATAGGAACTATATTCTAAATAATAAAAAAGTAACACTTGTATTTTTTCATTAGTAACAATCTAGCAAATTAGAATAAACTTCAATTACCTGTCAGAAGAGGAAGAAGAAGAAGAAGAAGAAGAAGCATAAGTATGTACCTGACGTGAGCGGATTTGCCTCTGATCTCCGAAAGTGGTGCCGTACGTGTGACGGAAGTCGACGGTTGCGACGTTGTTTGTGGCGATTCTTTGATCCTGATGTGATCTCTGCTACCGAAGAGGCTGAAGGAGTCCTCGAGGAGCTCGTGAAGCCTTCGTCTGGCACGACCCACGGGTCTCGATGGTAAATGATACATTCCACCGACGTCCGTTTCGGACGTATCGTTACCTTCAGACAAGTCGAGTCTTTCGAGAGATTGTGTGAAGACACAAATGTACTTAATAAATAAATAAATGACTGCGAACGAATAAGCGAACGTTTTGAAATTCTTGAAATAAAATTATTTAGAAACAAAACAAAATATATACATATATTGTACACTTACACATATATTTATTCGTTCGTAATCGAGGTGAGATAAACAAAGATTGTCAATTTAAAATAATTAATTAATATTAATATTGTGAACTCTTGAACACACGCGATATATTTACCTTCCGTGGAAAACATTTGTTTGTTGAGATTCCAAACGATCGGTCCGATCGTTCCGGGATCCTTCGAGACACTCGATGACCTCGCGAGGAACAGCGTGTCGTCGCCATTGTCGTCTTTATCGTGACGCATCAGTTCTGGAGAATCCATGTCCAAGTGCTTGACCTGAGAAACATCTTACCGTCATCTTGCGAACGCGATCGGATCGAACGTAATGTTTTTGAAATAAATTACCATGACGGGTTCCAACACTCTTGACAATGGTTCCACGCTACGCATACTGGGAAACTGCTTGCACGAGAGCATCGACAAGTAAGATCGCGGCGAAGCGGTCGATTCTTCCCGTTTCACGTAACTGTTCTCCAACGATTCCAGTGTCTCCGTACGATCGATTGCCGAGTCCATCGAGTCCGGCGTTCTTAGTTGGTCTCGCGCGGTCGTTCTCGCCATTCTTACATGCGACGTTCTGTATTCCGTCACAAGTGTGTTATAATTATTTGTATATATTTTAGTTTATTTTTATTATTTTTGTTCAAACTTTAAACCAGAACCATTAACTCGTCTCTTGGTTTAACTCTGTATCAAAGTTGATTACTTCGTTAATTACTTTGTTCTTTTAGTTGGATGCTCCTGAATACTCCAGGATGGAGATCCACGTGTCTTCTTTAGTTCCTCGTCGTTGTCACTGGAAATTTCGTGAACATCCAATTCCATGCTGTCGGGCGTGTCCGGGGTGATGGGGGTTCTGGATAAAGTTCGCGGAGTTTGTCGCTGACTGGTACCATCGGTCTGCGAACGTGGAAAAGTTGCGTAAGAAGGGAAGATTCACGAAGGAAAGAGAAAGAGGGGGAGAGAGAAAGAGAGAGAGAGAGAGAGAGAGAGAGAGAGAGAGAGAGATGCAAATAGCAACAATTTGCCTACCGAAATAAAGGACTAATATTTGTTAGAATCGATATCTCGTTCTGACATCAAGTAGAATCTCCCCTCGTAATTTTTGACATTGTAAGTTGATCGTTCGCGTGTCGCGATGTATACGACGATTCGAGCTTGTGCTTTCTTATGGTACCCCGTAATCTTTATCACGCAAGAAGGAAGCTTTAAAAATTATAAAACTCTTTGTTGATTTATGAGATATAAGCATGTATATCTATCACACAAGATTTTGTGTGTTTGTGTGTGTGTGTGTGTGTGTGCAACAATTTAGCAATTTATTTTATTCGATTATTGTACAAATTAGTTTTTGCTCAAAAATTAATATGAATTACTCTGTTTAAAGGTAAACATATCGTTTATACTTGTTAAATATACGTAAAAAAAGAGTTACTCGAAATGAAATTTTGTTGTATTATTTTTTTTACAACATATACAATTTGCCAAATTTGTTATAATATTATGTTATAATATCACATACCTTGATCTCGGTTTCAGATGTTGAAAAGGCAGCGTTGTCGAAGCCAGGTGTCGCAGTTGCAAATTCACGTTCCTTTTTCAGAATACTTTTGTTCGGTGGCGCGACGATAGCGCTGTGTGCCCTCTTCCTCTTGGCAACCAGAAGCAATCCAGCTAGTATCAGGATCAGGAGAACGATACCCGCGCTCGCCGCGCTGATCAACAGCCATATGTCCCTTTTTCTCGACAAGGCCAATGGTCGACTCTCCTTTAGATAAGCTGGAAGATGGAGAGATAAAATTTTCTCTCTTCAATATTTTATAAAACTTTCTTCTTAATAAAAAAAAATTAATAATACGATTATTTGAATCGAAAAAGAGAACATGTACCGCGCGCGCGCGCGCGCACGCGAATTACTCACGTTCGCTCTGAATAATCACCGGTGCCCCGAGTTCAAGAGCGACTTCCTGGGGCGAAAGAAGCGCCATGTCTCTCGCGGCAGTTTCCGCGGGAACGGGTTTGTCATCGAGATGAACCGAGTAGATCAGCCTCGTCGCGCCACTCTCGATGACACTTGTGTTCTGCATCCTGACCTTCACCACCCCCGGAATCGCGTTGTCCGCTAAACGTAACTTCGAGCGCACATCTTCGTTGTTGCTCGATCGATTTTTGAAAACTACATCATCGCTCGGCTTCGATTCGGACGAATCCAGTAATTTTGACGTCAATTCACTCTTCGGAAGTTGCTCGTTCGAATCGGTCACTGTGTTGAGATCATAACGCGACGTTGTAGACTGAGAATCGACTTTGATCGTAGATCCATCGACGATTTCTTTCTCCGAAGACACGTGTTTCGTATCATCTTTCAACTTTTTTATAATCTTTTGTGTCAGAGTTTCCTTCGTAGGTTTCTCGTGACCGATCGTTGTGTCGAGATCAAACGTCGGAAGCATCTTCGGTCTGGGAATTTCAATCATACTCATCGATGACTTGATTGGCGAAACGTTCGAGAAGTACGATTTGTCGTCGTGTAAATTTGAAACGCTAGCTTCGGTTTCCGCTCGCGAAGAAGAAGACCTTTCTGTGGTGTCATCGGGCGAATCTGGCGATTCAACTGTGGTTCTACTCGCGGCAGTCTCTTCTCGAGGTGCGACGTTCTCCTGGGACGAAGTTCCGAAACGTTTTGGTACGCTCTACGCATGTTAAGAAAAGAAGAAAACAAAAATGACAACATCATATCTGTATTTCTCTTTTTGAAACGTATATATTTTACCTTCCGGCCGATTAAAGCACGCGACAACGCATTTCTTCGAGATCGCAGATCCGTCGACAACAGGCCGAGATGCCGTTGTTGCTGTCTGGAGAACGCGGTCCGATACAGACGAGCCAAACGGAGCTCGATTTTGGGCGGCACGGCTTCACCTGGCCGTAGAACCGTCAACAACCAGTATCTGTTAACGTACGATTTGATTTGTTTCACATACACTAGTTATTTTTCACGGTTTCCCATGGCCTTGCTATTTTTTTTTTCACATCCACACTTTTTAATTTTAAACTCATTCGTCTTCTACCGTAAATCAATTAGGATTACCTTGGACCTGGATCCTCTCCGATGAGGACGCCGATGCTCTGATCGTCATCGTCGTCTAATCTAGGAGTCGGTTGTATACATGTGACGCATTCCGGGTGGTAATTGTCCGACGGTTCCTGTTCGCCAGGCGGACTGTAAACTGTGACTGTGTGAACAACCGTTTTCGTCTCGTGAATAGTCAAACCCTGATTGGGATCCACCCATGGTGGCGCATCTTCCAGACCGGTCCAGAAGAAATCCTGAAGATGAACTCGTCGTCCTGGCAGATGCTCGATCAGAATGATTTCGTCTTCTGCGTGAGAAAAAATAAAAATTTGATTTTCTGTTGTTTTCTTCTTTTTTTCAATTTTCGAGCGTGATAAAAATTGCGAGATGCGCGCGTAACAAATTATCTTCTCAATTTATGCGCGCGTAACAAATTTATCTTCCCAATACGATAAATAAATAAAATAAACTACGTGACGTATTGCTGAGATTTTTAATAAAAGAACGCGAGATTTTTCAATAAAAAACTATAACAAAAAGGAAGTTCTAATAATAAAACAAATTTGCTGCTTTGTAAACTTTGAAGTTTCAGCACTTCGCGTTTTGTTGATAAAAAGTTATATACATATATATATATAGCGAAGAGAAAAAAGGGAGATAGACAAGAGCAGTAGTACAGAAGCGCCGAGTTTTCCTACGGATACTCTTCATCGATGGGGCCAACGACCGACCGTCATGCGAGTTATTGGCGACGTCACGATATCGCTGAGAACAAACCGATCGTAATAAATGTGAGAATAAAGAGACAGAGGACAAACAGAAGAAAATTTCTTATCACGCGATCACGTGACGGTGGCTCGTAAAAGTTGTGGAATTCATTCATGCGTGAGCAAGACTATTTTGGACGAGAGAATATAATCGCTGCTGTTCGTTATGTCATTCCACAAGCAGTTTGGTAATTAGAGAGTATTGCCCTCTCGAGCTTTTAACGTTAATTGCTCTCTGTGGTATCGCGAAATGTGCAAAAGTACAAACCACGTTACGTTCGAAACGAACAGTACGTACGAAACAGTTTCAAAGAAAGAGAGAGAGAGAGAGCAAAGCTGACTGCACAGATGCAGCACTTGATTAGATAAATCCGCGCAATTATAGCGGCGCATCGCTCGAACTGTCGATCGATTATGACACTAACACGTGGAACACGTTCGCGATCTATTCTTCTCAAACGCGTTTTTTTTTTTCACGTTGTTGTTACGACGACCTAGTTTCACGGTTCGCTTGACTTTCCGGTGCGTAGAAATATTTGCGCATTCGTTTGTGTTTTTGTAGGTTTTTTAAATTTTCCGCGTCCAGAAAGTGAATTGATCTTCCTGCCCTCACACAGATTTAACTTCAGTAATTGAGTAGCAATCAATCACGAAATTTATGTGTTATCTCATGTTCTCTCTCTCCCTCTCTCTCTCCCTCTCTTTCTCTCTCTTTCTCTATATATAAAGATATTCTTTCTTCGTCTCATTCGGCAGATTCTGTACTTACGTACAGTTTATAGTCACGCAGCATGTATCTCAGATATTTTTAGTACGCGATGGTAGTGTTAAATCGATAGAAAACCGAGTTCCTATGGTGAGAATGAGCTGATGTGCGATCGCTATTAAAATCCCCCGTGCAAATCAACGTTGCACATTCCGTCACATTATTCTCTCGTTGACGTTCTCGTAAATTTAACGAACGTTGCGCCGACGATATACTTCACGCTATGTTGTATCGCAATACAAATTGCTTGTTGTGTTCGCGAAACAGTTTTTTTTAAAGAAAACTTTTCTCGCTTTTAATAATAAAAAAATAGATTAATTATTGATAATATATGAAGAAAGCTCTCGATTATAAATTTGTAATTCCATTCGCACACGTGCGTGTGCCGTCTTAATTCGCAATAGCGGCAACGTGTTTGCACGTATACTAACATGCCAATAATAATATCGATTACCTGGCGCACACCTGCATGAGAGCGCTGAATTACTTAAGCTATGTCGTACGAGACTGGCGCCTACGGTTCTTCTCAATTTCAACTTGGACGCTAACACAGACGACAATATAAAGGTCACGGAAGAACGCATCTTTTGCGGAAATGAGATCACGGAACGCGATCACGACAGCACCGCTGTCTGTATATTTTTCACGTGCACGTGTATCACGATGTGTGGAAAGAGAATCGATCGAGCACGTGGAGCCACGTATGCGCGACCCGCCGTTGAGAAAACTTATTCGCTCCGTGCGTAAAAAAAAATGTTACGCGAGAAATGTCAAAATGACATGAATCAATAAAAAACGACACACAACGCGATATAAGAGAGAGCTTTTTTGCTCGTGTAATATAATAATTTTGAGCAAGTGCAAAAGAACGATTAGAAAAAGTCAGATTGAGTTTTTTTTTGTAAAGTAACAACTTCGATGATGAGAGATAAGACAAGAGATTTGTGACGTGATATTTTCTGATAATATCGCAAAGAAGAGAGTTTAAGGTGTATGTTAGTGTTAGCGAAAGAGCTTGATTTTATAACTTGAATTAAAAAAAACAAAAAAAGATCTCACTTTCAACTGAAAGTGAGAAGATCTCGAACTAAAAGCACTGGGTCACACATCAGTTTTTGTAAATACATAATTGAAAGAAAGAATGATCATTATCATTTTTTGGACGCAGTTCTGCGTCTGTGTTTTATATCTGAAATATTTAAGAAGCGTATTGTACTATCGCTGAAAAAAGATGTATCTCCTGTGTATCGAGAAACACATTTGTCACTCTTTTAATATAAAAATTATAATTCGCGCGTGTAATATCTACGATAATATTATGTAAATATTTAAAAATTGCACCAAGTCACTAACCGGCTCCCGGTGGCATCGAAGCGATCACTCTCGAGATGTTGGAATTCTGCAATAAAAAGATCGCAATTTGCACGACAGTGCCGAGAGAGGCGGACAACGCTACGCGTAGTATACTGCATAGTACCATCGCGTAAAACGCGCTCTGATGTACTGAATCACCAAGGGGTGTTCTACATGGATGGATGGATACAACAGAGTGTTCGGAGTAGGGTGGAGAGTCTGCGCACAGGTTGAACAAAAAACGAAGTAGACGTGGGAATAACACATTTCTACGAAAAAAAAAAAAAAAAAAACATTGACAATTATTTATTGTATCAAGTATATTTCTCTTCTGCATTCTTTATTTGTTAGTTTAGCGATGTTACATGTAACTAATGTGTTATTGATTTCGACGAGGTCGTGTGAGTTTATGTATAGATTTTAAATGCGATTCTCGTCGTCGTCGGTTCTCTTTTCATCTATTGATGTCCCACGTATGACGCACGTGAATAGGATCTTGCACGTGTGCGTGTAACATCAGCAGGTAAAAAGGGAATTCTTGTGCAAAGACATATATTGGTACGTTTAGTTACATGGAGTTCTATAGACTATTTTTTTTTTTTTTTAATACATAATAATGCATCGTACGGTATAGTTTTAGGCAAAATATTTTAAATAAAATAAAAAAATTTATTAACTGCTCTTTTAGAAAGCTTAATGTCGTAATTAAATATGTTCATCTTAACACAAACATATAAATAAGTGTATTAAGCTTTCTAAAAAGAGCAGTAAAAAATAAATTTTTTATTTTATTTAAAATATTTTGCCTAAAACTATACCGTACGATGCATTATTATGTATTAAAAAAAAAAAAAATAGTTTATATTGTAGAACTCCATATAACTAAACGTACTAATATATTGTTATAAGTCACGTATTGTATTTATATTATGTGTTATGTATTATGGTATTATGTAATATATACTAATTAATGATAGAGTATCGTTTAAAGTGGGTTTTAAGTTACTAGGTGTAGTTGTGTTAAAAGGAAAACTGGAATCAAGGACGCACCGATCGAAGGTCGCACATGCAGCCGAAAAGATGCAATGGTCTGCATTGCACTTTTCGAGAACCGGATGTCGTCTGATTTTCCTCGGTCAATCACAAAGTGATTAGCTCGAGAATAAGACCCGGTGTCCGGGCAGGTGCGGGCAGAATCGTTCAGAATAGTGTCGCGGCCGGAGAGGCTCTGCCCGTCAGAGCATCGCTCGTAGAACTTGAAATATCGCGAGTGAGTGAGAATTTATTCTTAACTGTGGTTTTTATATTCTCACTCACTCGCGATTCTGTTCGCACCTGCCCGGACCCCGGGTCTTATTCTCGAGCTAATCACTTTGTGATTGGCCGAGGAAAATCAGACGACATCCGGTTCTCGAAAAGTTTGTATTTTATTGAAAAAAAAAAAAAAAAAAAAATCGCTCTTAAGATCTAGTTCGATCATCTTGAACAGATAACATTTCATTATCGCTTATTATATCTGTCCGCAAGAATCTTTTGATATTTTCGATGTGTTCCCCGTTAATCGCCGCTATTACGTTGTCACTATCTAATATTGTTAGATGATTTCCATCAACGTAGTGTATGTCTATGTCTCCTTCAGTAATCTGAAAGCCGATTTCAATCAAATAAATCTAACAATAAGTCACAGTAGATATTTTTTTATACATATATAAACACGTCACGTGTGCAAATACCTTTTGCAAGCCGTAATCTTCCTCATCAATTGCCGCAGATGCTAATGTGGGCTTCAAGAGTATTACAGGCGATTTTATTTTTGGTGTTTGCGTCAAATCGTAATCGTAAAGAGCAAACATACGATTGTAGAACGTTGAACACAAGGCCTCTTGATATTCAATCGAATACGATTCTTTTTCTTTTTTTTCAGGAATTGACGTGATAAAAGCGGTCAGTTTTTCGTCCCAGTTCTTGCATTTATTCAGTTCCAACAAGAGCTATGAGGATCAAGTTACTTGAATAATTTTTATCCAGAAATGCGCGCACCCCTCAACAATATACAATATACACATAAACTTATCCTACTAATGACCGCTCACCTTGCCACTAAGTGTCGGCTGTAAAGAATCCATTATGGCCAGAAGAACATTATTTTGAAATTCATCCATTGTTGTGAATGGAAGATGATGATTTCCCAATATTTTCATGTGTTTGGGTGCACCGTCAATTAGTACGATTCGGCCATCAAAATTTGCTTTCTCGAATCTGTGAGCTAGTTCAATCGCGATAATCGATCCGTACGAATAACCAACAAGTACGAAATTTGATCTCACTTTATCTTTGCTCAAAAGTTCCTGAAAATAAAACACACAAAAACATATATAAATTTATATACATATATAATTTTACGATATATCGATGTTATTTTCAACTTGTACGCAAAAAATAGATTAATTAATTAATTAATTAATTTTTTCCACGGTTTTTACTCAAGCACAATCATCGTAATAATAATCAATTCATACTTCAAAGAGACAGTCGGCGATATCACTTATTGGGCGATACTTCGCGCCTATGTTAAAGTCGCTGTACTGCAAGATTGTTGCTGAACCTTCGATTTTCGATATCAGTGGATCGAACACGCTCGCTTTACCTTCCACGCCCGGTAACAAAAATATGTGACCTTTCTTCGTCTTACTTTCCTTCGTTAAAAGATTTACGCAGATATCGGGGTGCAGAGTTTTGGTGCCTATCATGCGGACGAGCATTTTCAAACCTATCAAATCGTCCTTGTCGATCGTGTTAGCGGCTGTTTGCTCTTTTACGTTAAATATATCGAAGAGTTTGGCAAATGTCATATTGCGCATATCCTGCGCGGAAAGCAAAATGTCGTATTCTCTTTCCAGCGTTTGCCTCATTTCAACCGCCATCATCGAGTCCATCCCGAGCTCGGACAACGGTGTGTGACGCGCCACAGTTTTCAAATCCTTTAAATCTATCGATTATATATATATATATATATCTCTCTTTTTTATTCAAACATTCTCTAAAAAAAATAAATTATTTATAATAAAATTGACATAAACTCACTCATAATATTAGCCACGGTCTCGATGATGTTAGTTCCTCCTAAAACGTTCGAGCGTTTCTCGGCCACAACCATGCTCGCCACAACGGGATGCTCTTGCAACATAAATTTCTCAAGATTTTCGATACACGATAAGATTCTTTGTTGCAACGTACCGCCGATCACCATTTCCTTGTCGTTGTCCTGCATGTCGGCTACCAGACCGACGTCGCCCACCGCGCCCCACTGGATCGCCAATCCGTGCAATCCTTCTCGCCTTCGTCTCTCGCAGATTCTTTCCATGATTGAGTTTGCCATACCGTAGTTACTCTGTCCGGGATTGCCTCTGCCGCAAGAGACCGAAGAAAAGACAACGAAGTGTCGAAGCCGAGGACATAACTTTCTCGACAGTTGATCCAGATGCTTCGTCGCCCAAGCTTTTCCTCTGAACGGCTCTTGGAACGTCTGCACGTTGTGATTCGGGAATAGCTTGTCGTTTAGCGCTACAGCGAGATTGAATATAGCGTCTACCGGCGCCAAATTTTCCGCTGTTCTCAATATGGACTCGCAATCGTCGACGTTCGACGCGTCGAGGTTCGACACAATGGACACTTTTGTTTTGTAAGATTTCCACAGCTCGACCTTCATTTGCTGATAACCGTTTTTGATTCCGGCGCGCGAGACCAACACGAGATTTTGCGCTCCCCGCATCACCAACCAATCGGCCAATTCAAGTCCGAAACCGCCAAGACCGCCTAAAATGATGTACGACCTGTCCGCCCGGCAGTAGTAACGCGGAAGCGCGAGCATAGGTTGGTTGGGCACAAATGGGTCATCCTCCTGGACTTTAATAATTACCTGAAATCGTAATAATAAACTTCGTTTGCGCCTTCTCTTCGATCGATCACGCGGTCTACTTACTTTTCCCATGTGCTTGCCAGCCGCCATGTATCTAAACGCATTCTCCACGTCGTCTTTCGAAAAAACTTTCCTGCTGATCGGCTTGACGACTCTGTTCTCTATTTCGTTACTTATTTTCGACCATATTACGCTTTTTTCTTTTTTCGACATTCTAAATACATTGTCCAACATAATACTATGAAAATGAATTCCTTTCTCCAAGATCGACATGTTCAGTGTGCTGTTGGCCAAAAAGTCGAATTTTCCGATTTCTAAAAACCGTCCGTTTCTCGCGAGACATCGGATCGAAGCTTGAAGCTTCTCCTCGGCCAGTGAATTCAGCACGACGTCTACACCGCGGCCTTTGGTTTGTTCGAATATCATCTGCTCGAAACTGGTGTCGCGTGAATTTCCGATGTGGTCGTCCGGGATGTTCGGGAAGGTGTCTCTTATGAACTTCCGTTTGTCCGGAGTTCCGACAGTAACGAATATTTCGCATCCGGAGTGAAGCGCGACGTTAATCGCCGCTTGTCCCACGGCGCCGGTACCCGAATGAATCAGAATCTTTTCTCCAAACTTCAGATTTCCACTGACCAGCAACGCGTAGTAAACTGTGGCGTAAGCGCACGGAATCGTCGCGGCCTCCTCCAGAGTCAAATGGTCGGGAATGTACAAGCACGTTTCTCTTTCGATTACGCGCAAATTTGTGAAACATCTAAAACGATTTTTTAAATCAAAGATATAATAAAAATAAAATTTTTTAATAAATTACTAAGAGAAGTAAAATAAAATATAACTGATTATTTTATTTTAGAAACTTTTTTGCTTTTAAGAAAACTCTTCTATGAGTTTTATTTATTTATTATCATTTGTTTATCCTATATAAGCAACTTGGAAAAGTGCGCGACGTACCTATTTTCAGAAATTCCCATAATTCGGCGCCCGGTGTTGTGCTCGATTCCTGCGTATTCCAAACCGATGTAACAGTCCTCGAGTCGTCCGCGCGAAGCCATAAAGTCCAGAATAATTTTTCCTGTGGTTAACATGACATCCTTAAAGTTGATTGGCGCGTAAATCACATGAACTAAATCTTTGTCATGGCAATCCGGAGTAAGTTCATCCTCTAACCAGGCAAATGAATTCAGATCACCGCGAACCTAAGAGATAAATAAAACACTTTTCACACTGACATTGAAGAAAACTAAAAGAAGACATGTTTTTCTGTGTCTATATTCGAATATTGGTGACGTATATGTAATATAGTTCCAGTACATACCATTTGATTGAGGAAAGCGTTGTGTACCAGCTTCGGCACGAGAGGCGCCAAAGGAAGATGGCGATACGATCCCCATATTTTTCCCGGATAAAGAATGTTAATGGGAAGATCGAGTTTGAGTTGATCCGCGTACAGCGGATCGTGCAGAGAGAACTTCGGCGCGTTTTTGTCCTCAATGAACACTCCCTTAAACGCCTCACCTCCCGGTTCTCTTCTCAAACAGTTCAACAGACCTAACAAACCGCTTTCCGAATCCGCTTGTGCAACTAGAATGATTTGAGCGACGTTAATCGATCGGGTCTGCGCGTTCATAATCAACTGGAGTCTTTCAATCCACGAGAGCTCGTAATTGTCCACGTAAACAACTTCCGTTTTTCTCGTTGATTTTATTTGCTTCCTCAAGAGCGTAATGTGCTCTTTCGACGTGCGTTTTTCAAGAATCACTTTCAAACCGAGCGTCTCGGCCTTTGTGACGTCGTTTTTCGTGAGGGATTTTCCTCGTGTCATCAAAAATCCACCGTCTTTCAATGCCGACAATATTTCATTCAACGTTGCGTTCTTGTTTTCACTCAACAAATCAAATCCCGCGATTATTATCGCGTTGTCTTCCTTCGTCAACGTTTTCGATTCCGACACCGCGATGGCCGGAGGAAGGGTGTTGATATTGTTGAAACGGTCGCATCTGGATACGAACGTGATGTTGGGTTGAATCAACGGCAGGTTGCCCAACGTTTCTAAGAACATCGGCGACAGTAATTCCTCCGCCGTTACCTCGTCACCGTCCTCAACCAATTCCGTAATTGTTATTTTTGTCATTGGAAGACACTCGAGAGCGATGTGCGTCGATAAAATCACAGCATTTTGCAAGGAAATCTCGGCACGGTCGCTATAAGCAACGAATCTGTACTCTTCGAGGACGGGAATCGCCGTTGATTTTCGACGAAATATAGCGTTTGCCGTGATGCCGCGAATCTCTACACCACCGGCTACCACCGCGTCTAGGTAATCGTACACGCGGACGGGAAACACAGAGTAAACTACGGAAATATTTGAAATTGACAATTTTTGCAGTTCATTTCGTTATTTTTTATTTATTTATTTTTTTTATCGTAACACGTTTATCTCTAAAATAAGTTTACAAATGTTAGTACTTACCTTTGTCTACGGTTTCCGGATTCTCGCGTATCATTTGCATGTGAAGCTGCGGATCGATGACCAGTTTGTCAATTCGCGTAGGAACGTAAAGACTTCTCGAGTCGATTGTGAGAATTTTCATCTGTAACATGCAATCCATGAAAGTCACCCAATTTGCCTGCCAATTGATGTGACCACGTTTTCCGTCAGTGGACGCGGATTTTATTCCTCGGAACAAACCCGAGTATTGATAGCCGCGTAATCTGAGCTCTTTGTAGATGTCCTTCGATGTCATCACCTCCTTCTTATCGTCGTCGTCTCGCAGAAAACGCTTTTGCAGTTTTTCCTTCTCAATATCTTGCGTTATATTAACTACCCCGGTAACGACGATGTTATTCCCTTCAAGAATTTCAAATTTTCCGCTACCTGTAATATTTTATCTCATTTATTTCGCAAGTGCAATAACATTTATGTAATTTTAGCTTTCCGCAAGTATCCATCACCTTTCTGCAACATTACTGTGAGTTCCACGTCTTGTTTCGCAAGTTGCGTCGCCCGAACAAATTTAACGTCTTTGAACACAATTGGCATCTCGATAAGCACGCGACCCGTTAACATGCCGATTGTTTCCCAAACAAGTAAAATGTAACTCGTGGCCGGAACCAAGGTTCTCCCGTCGATCACGTGACCCTTTGTGTATTCGTAATCTTCGTCGGTCAATACAATATCGACAATTCTCTCTCCCAAATTTAACTTCTTCTGAGTTTGAAAATTCGTGACGTACCAGTCGTCGGAATGATCCCACCTTTGAAAAATTCGTCAGATCAACAAAGGAAAAAAAAAAAGGAAAAAAAAAATCAAAGGAAAGAAATATTTGTGTACCTAACTCGGCGAGAGATAAAATAAGTACGCGCGCGTCAAATTTCAGTTCAGCTCTGTTCCGTTCAACTTACTTGATTAAGGAGGATATCATCGGCGTACCGCGACTAACAGGAAATTGCACCGCCGGATACAAGTTGGCTAGTTGCGGCTGCGAGCCGCAGTTGTATAACTGTCCGATTCCTCGCAGAAACACTTTGATATTGTCCTCGTGATTTTGCTGAAGTAACGCGACGCTTGTATCGAATCGTTCCGCTGTGACGTCCCGAAGAATCCCATCGGGCGCGATTTCGAGAGCCACGGCGTTCTCGGGAATCGATCGCGCGATTTCGTTAAAGAGCACGGGCGTTAACAAATTGTGAGTAAAATATTCGGCGCAGGATGTTTGCATCAATGTCGCGTGGTAAACCGAATTTCGCCAAATCTCATTCGGCGTTACTGTTTCGGGAATTATTCGTTTCAAGTACGTCAGAATCGCGGATTTCGCGGGAGCGAGATGACGAGTGTGAAATGGAATGTTACTGCAGTTAATTTCCTTAGCAGAGACGTTGTTAACCTGCTGACATATATATATATATATATATAAATAATTAACATATTTCAATCTTCATAATAAACAAAAAAATATTTTTAATCAAGAAAAATGATCAAGACCTGTAACTTCGTTACAAATGCTTTCACTGATTCTTTCGGTCCGCTTATGGAGCAACTATTCCGACTGTTGCTGCCGATTATTTCGACATCCGGAGGACATATGTTCCTCACGTTTTCACAATCGAGACCGATTTCCGCCATGGCGCCGTTAACAATTTTCGTTTCGCTCAGCGCCAGTCCTATGTAATACGCCGATAAAATCACTTGTTCAATTGTGAAGTTACCGGTCACGTAGCCGCAACAAAGTTCGCCGATTGAATAACCAATTACGTAATCCGGCTTGATATTTATAGACATTAAGAGATCGACTAGTCCAATCTGAAAGAGAATGACAACTCTTGTACAAGCTCCCTTCAATGTTGTTTCAAAAACTTGCGCACTCAAATAACTTGATAAAGAAAATAAATTAGTGCAAAATAAGCAAAATGTACAAAAAAAAAAAAAAAAATCAAAACTACTGTAATTATTTAATGCATCACCTGCATCACAGTAATGCCCACGAGCGAGTTCAATATATTGTCGAAGACAGCTTCGTCCATTTTACTTATCAATATGTCAGTGACGCTTATTCCGTGTGTTCTCAAAATCGTGTCGCACTTTTCCACGGTTTTACGAAACACGGGAAATTCCAGCAGAGCCTGACCTATATAATAAATCTTCAATTTCATAAACGAGTCGTCATTTTGTTTTCTAATGCGCAACAAACAAAAACAAAAACAACATACCCATCCCGAGCCATTGCGATCCGACTCCGGAAAAAACGAAACAAATTGGTTTTGTGTCCGAATAATATTTTATTTCCTGTATCGTCTCGTTCGACATCTCCGATTCGATAATCACGTATCCTCTATAGGGATGATTCCTCATGGCGCTAGCGTAAAGATCGTGCAACAGCCGAACGAATTCAACATCGATCGGTCGGTTCTTGATCTAAAAAAAAAAAAAAAAGAACACACGCAAGTACAATTTATACATTTTGTATGACACCGTTTTGATTATCTCCGATATACAAGAAGTTTCAAATACCTCATCTAGAAACGACGCAACAGCTTCTTCGGTACGACCGGATATGGCAACGAGTCTGGGCAATTTGTCACTTGGTGCGCCTCCGTTGACCTTACATTTTGTGTGAGGTCGTAGCAAGATGTGACAATTCGCGCCGCCGAAACCAAACGAATTTATGCCAACTAATCCTGGATTCCACGGTGTTACCTCATTCACCACTCTTATTTTCTTTTCCGCGAAAGCCTTGATGTCTTTTCGTGGCCGTTTGAAGTTCGAGTTTGGCAGAAGCGTGCCGGTTTCCATCATTATTATCACCTTGTGAATAAAGAAGAATAATGTATAATGTGTAATAAGTTAAGAATTTTGTCTTTTTTATATTATTGTCAATTAACAAAATCAATAATAGAATGTATGAAAAGAGACATGCAATTTGTAATATAAAATTAAACAGATTTATAGTCGACGATAGCAAATGTTTACGTGTTAACTCTTAACAGAATTGCACATTACTTTGCCAATTTGACACATGCTGCTGCTGGGTTCGGAGTGACCCAGGTTCGATTTAACGGAGCCAATGAGTAGCGGTTTGCTTCGGTTCTTACAAAACACATGCTCAATCGCACTGACTTCTTCCGGATCGCCGACTTTGGTCCCAGTTCCATGAGCTTCTACATACTTCACGCTTGTCGGCGATATACCGCATTCCTGGTAAAACTCTTTAAACAAGTTTGCCTGCATCTCGGCTGACGGATAAGTGATACCTTGTTCTTTGTAGCCGTCGCAATTTACTTTTGCATAAATAAACGTTGAGTAAATTCTCTTGGCGACCTTTGCTTTTTGCAAAAACGCAACCGCGATTGTCTCACTACGCATATATCCTTTCGTATCCTCATCGAAGGGCGCACAACTTCCGTCGGGCGAGAGAACTCCTAAAATTTTGAGAGTCTTGTATATATTGTACATGATAAGTTGCCTTCTCTAAGGCGCTTTTAAACCTTAACTTACAATTAGACCATAGGATAACGACGCGTTGGAAACTCTATGTTTGTTAATAAAGAATGCTCGTCTTATATTTTTTCTATCATACCGCAAAAAATCCGCATTTATTTCATCTTTTATACATATATATATACATATATATATAACTATATAATATATATTATAATATAATATAATATATATTATACGGATATACATATATATATANATATATATATATATATATATATATATATATATATAAATTTCTAATATTTTCTAAATATAAATATACTATACCCTATACTATTTAAATTCTTGAGTTTGAGCTAAATATCTACCGAGCCTGGCAAATTGCAGAGTCATGAAATGATGCAAACAAAGATTGGCGCCGGCGACGAAAGCGGAGTCGCATTCTCCTGATTTGATGCTCTTATAAGCTAATGCCATGGTAAACAAGCTGGAAGAACAAGCCGAGTCTATTGTATAAGACTGTCCTTTTAAATTGTAAAAGTTCGAAACGACATTGGCTAATCCGGATCGGCTACAACCAATAAGCCCGTAACCATCGTCTATCTGGAGAAGTGTGTGATAAGAGATTTAGATACGCTATTTTTAAGCGCAAAATGTATTTATTTTTATCTAATATTTTCTACTTTTCTTTCGTTGATCCAAGTATTTTCAGATTCGGAATAGCATGTGGTAGCAAACACTCCGGTTTTCGTTCCGTCTAAATCCTTTGGATTAACTCCAGCGTCGACAATAGCTTCGTAAACATGCTCCAAAAGCGAGCGCAACATAGGATCATACTGATGCGCCTGATTGGCGGGAACGTCAAAATAATTCGCATCGAATTTACTTAAATTTTTAGTTCTCCCAATGCGTTGCGGTACATCTGGATAATCTGCATTGATTACACATGAAATATTTTATTCTTGTTTAAAACACACAATACTTCTCACTCCTTTCATGAGGAAATAATTATGTCAACATACATGTATACATGGATTTTAATATCAATTGCACAAGTTAGAGATATAATCTCATAATAGAGAAAAAAAGATAAAATTATACGTAACTTTTTTATGAATAAAATTATATGTACATTACCGTGAATCCATTCTCGTTTGTCAACCGTTCCAAGATCTGCTTTAGTAAACAAAGCTTTCTCAAGATCTCTAATATTTTCACACGCCGGAAATCTACCGGCGAAACCTGAAATAACGATATCATCTTCGGACTCGACGAACATAGTTTTCTCGTCACAATTCGAAATTTTAATGACAACGAATTTCCCGCGAAACTGCTACTCTTTCTTTTCACTTCGCGTTCTCGACCTTGTCGCGCGATATCTCGAGCTTGTAAGATCACACTGTTTAATGCGCGATTTTGCAACAAGTATATCGTGACGTTCTGATCGCGGACAGAGGATTATCGCTTGTACGAGACTTACTTTTATATGCCGAGCATTTTCTCGTTATTATGACCATAGACATTCTTGGATGTGTGTGTTACACGAATTTATTTATAAAATCAATTTACATATGCCGTGTGCAACACGCACACGGTCTGCAATTTATCGAAACAATTTAAATAAAAGAGGTGAACAACTTTCAAAATATTACACAGTATGCGCGGGCATTGGCGTAATTTACACGTGAGGTTGACCCTTTCGTTGGTTATTCGCGAGGCATTACCGACGCAATTTCTTTTGATGTAAAAACATTTGCGCCACTGTCTGTCATGTATGACATGTAAATTGAAAACTTTGAAGTTTGTAATTAAATTACTGATGATTCGTTAACAGTATAACGAATGGATTTCTCTTATTAAAAGAAAGACAATAGACTTTCACACTCACGTATGCCGTATTTCATCAATAAACATTTAATTACAATACACAAAGTGTTCAAAGTTTCAACGAGCATAAAAAATAAATTCTCGATGCTATCTGCATTTTCAAATATTACATGTTCTTGTCGATAGATATGCGATTGTGTCAAGATGTTACATTTATTATCACATTTATTATCGGATTTTGATCTCTCTTAGCAAATGTGACATTTAAGCTTTTACTTGTTTCTTACATTACGTGTATTATATGTACTATATATGATGCACAGTATGATATGTACTTCTCGTTTCATGAGCATTTTGTTCAAGTAAACAAAAACAAAAAAAAAATCAAAGTAAGATTTAGATTTTGGAATCTAAAAAATTTATTCTCTTCGATTTTCTCATTTTTAAGACTAATTTTCGCGCAACCGCTTATCGGTTTCGAATATTTTATATTTTTGGAAAATATTTACATGCTTATATTATTTATATTATTTATATATTTTTTAAATAAAACTCTTTTTTGTTTATATCTATGTCATATACGCACAAATATATTTTGAAGTTTTTCTCTTCTTCTTATAGAATACATTGACATAGTTTGACCTTTACTTGAAACATTGTATAACTTAATACATTTTACATGTGATATATTTGACATTCGTCTTTTGTTAAATAATGTAATCAATGATCTATAGGATTAAGAATCACGAGTAGCCAATAGGTCGCGGTACCTAATTGTTAGTCACGATTATATTTGCGTAATTTCGAAGGTGACATAGCAACTTAAAAAAAATCGCACTTCTGACACCAGCAATAACTCAATTTCTGACAAGTTTTAAAGATCGATTTGCGACCTTTAAACACTTTTTTTTCGACTTTGAAATGTTGAAGCTGGCACAGCAGTTTCAAAAAATCACATTTCTCGCACCAGCTCTGTGCACACGTGCACATGCAGGTATATTAAAATTATTATTCAGAAAAGAAAGATGTTTTTTGGTAAACAAAAGAAAACGGCAGAGTAAAGAAAGAAAAAGAAAGAGAGAAAAAATTTTTTTTTAAATTTTTTTATTGAAAGTAAAGTGCAGCCTTTAAGAAGAAGACACAATTAAACGGCTACGACAATCGGTCTTAAAACTAAAGAAGCTTAACAATTATTAGGGAGAGAGAAAATTTTTTTTTTTTTTTTTTTTTTTATTGACATAAAAGGCGGCCTTTAAGAGCAGAGCTTAAATGGCCCTGGAGAGAGAAAATGACATGTATTTGTACAGTGGTGCAATCTGTCACTGAACCGTCGAATCTATTTGAAAAGCAACTTTGTACACATCTTTATTTCGTATGATAACATTCGTTTATTTCATAAAGTAACAGTCGATGCACGATAATGAAGTTTACTCGAGAATTTCGAGAACAAGTATTTTTCCAATCCTATAGAAAAAAAAGGGCATTTGGACCGAGAAGTGCGCGTTTTGGAGCCGAATGTATCGCATCTATTGTTGCCTCTTTTCCGCGTTGCCGATTGGTTGGTTGGTTGATCGAGTCGAATCGAATCGGTAAGATCGAGAGAGTAAATAATAAAAGCGATTTTGAGACAGTTTTTTCGTCGTATATGTAGAGAAAATTAAAAACGTAACTAAAATCACGTGACAGGAAAGAGTAGAAAAACAACACGTAAAAATAACGTGACTGTAATTTATATTATATATAACATTAAATAATACATATTATATATATAAATTATTATATATTTATAATATTATACTTTATATTGTATTATATGTATTATATACATACTACAGAGTAATGTCACTGACCTCGACCGCGCGGCCTTGACGGGGTCATTGACCTCAGCCGCGCGGCCTTGGCGGGGTCACTGACCTCGGCCGCGCGGCCTTGGTGAGGGAGGGTCACTGACCGCGGGCGCGCGGCCTTGGCGAAGGGGGGTCACTGACCTCGGTCGCGCGACCGCGGCGGGGTCAATGACCTCGGTCGCGCGACTGCGGTGAAGTCACTGACCTCAGCCGCGCGACCGCGGCGGTGTTACTGACTTTGGTCATGTGATTACGGTATATATATATATATATATACACATATATGCGTATGTGTGTGTATTATATATAGATATAAAATATTACATATAATATATATAATAGTCTCTTTTTTACCCTTTTCCCTGACTTTAGTCACGTGTTGTTTTTCCACTTCTCTCTCTCACTATTTTTTGAGTTTGATTTTCATGCGTTATTTTTGACATTTCTCATATGTGTATTATATATATGGTTTATAAGACGTATATACTATCTGTCATCGCGGTGACAGGTTGTGTTCACTGACAACACGTTAAATAAAAATAACAATAGCGTGCGCGTAGCGCGCGACTGTGTTGTGCTTGTAGACAGAAATTATGTGCGTTTGTAATACACCAAACAATCATGTTTCTTTTTTATTATTTCAGTGCTTAGCCAAAATGTCAGCATCTTCGCTCGCGTTTCTGATTTCTTTTCAAATCTATTTTTGTTTTTTTTTTAACACTGCGGAATACAATTATATCTAATCTAGTTTTTTTGTAACGGCTATTACATACTAAGGGAAAGTAAAATAAGAAATTTATGTCGTAGGTGTGTTAACAGGAATAATGCAAAGTCAAACTGGTGATCTCGCACGAGCGGCAAAATGTCAGGGCTGAGGGTGAGTCTTAATGTTACTTATGCGACATTACTTTCTTGAGTTTGCAATTCAATAGCAAACCTGTCACAGGTATTCTACCAGATTCCACATGCGTTTGACAAACGCGCGCGCGCATATTATTTATAACATTTTTACAAAATAATTCTACAAATTGATATTTTGATTTTGAGCATCGTGCTCCAGAATTGTGTTGCTAATTCGTGTTCTACTTAAAAACAGAGCCAAAATATTATTTCGGAATAATATATATATATAAAAAAAACAACGTTACCTTGTATCCTCAATACATCTCGCTAATGGTATTCAATAATTTTGCATTACGTCACAACGCAACTTTCTATACGCGGTGCTCGGTTCGTCGCGACGCGATAGAAAAATTTCAATCCACATTTAATCACGCAGGAGGAATTCTCAAGGTTTATAATTCAGGCTTGACTAATACCACTCCCCACTATTATCCGCGCTGCGTAAGATCGAAAATTGAGTTCCGCTCTGCACGCAAATCGCAGTGAAACAACATCGACATCGGTAATTTTATTGTTTGACAGTGACGTATTATTTCCGTTATTCCCACAAAAAAGCAGCTCTGTATTCTCTCTCTACAAGAGATATAATACGCAACGAGCGCATTATAGTCGCGTTATTGCAATTTGTTTTTCTGCAATAGTCAGTCATAAGCTCGTTCGACGAATCTTTAAACGCATATAGTGATTTTTTGTGAGAACAACGTTTGACTTTCAATTAGAACTCACTTCCAAAAAGAAATCGTGTAATTTTAAGAGATGTTATTATTATTACGTCGCGTACACACCGAGCTAGCGATTATTTCGTTCGTTCGCCGCGCGCGAATTCCATTTTCGACGACGATGCACTTTCTCGCGACGTTTAACAATATCGCCGCGCTAATTTCTTCCGGTATATACGCCGCCGGTATCTTTCTTGTCATATAGTCTCGCGATTAAGCACACTCTTTCCCCCCCCCCCCGCCGGGATAATTTATGTTAAGTTAGTGCAAATTCATTTCCCCACACGAGTCTCTCTTATTGTCCGGCAAATCTCCGCAAGCCGTTACTTTGATTAGATTGAACTTCCCTCGGTGACGCGAGCGTCGCGTCGCTTCGAGAGATAGCAAACTTCCTGTTTCGAGGAAGAGTAAAAAATTCGTTTTACGACGAGTTTTTTTTTTTACGTGTGCACTGGGAGATCGTAGAATTTTTTGCAACTGTTGTTGCTTTCTTGCATAGTCGAAGAAATGTAAAAGAAAAGAGAGATTTTTCTATGAACAGATTGTTACGACCACGAAACAATCGTTGAAACATTGCGGAAAACATTATTTTGCAAGATTGGAACATGTTGTATGCGCAATACAATTTTATTCATTGTGGAGAAAAGAGGCAACCAGTCTGCTTGAAAATCATTAATCGTAACACCCTGTAGAGAAGTTACAGCATCGGACGAGCTTCATACACAAACGGTGTCCACATACGAACTTCATACAAGTGGCGTTTAAATACGAACGCAAGATGTAGAGGAAGGAAACAATCTCTGTCTTTTTTTCCCTGTGAGTTTTTTGGTGGAGGCGCAGCGACGAAAGCAAAACAAAAAAAAAAAAAAAAAAGAGGAAAACGAGAAGTGGACAAGATTTTGAAGACGAGAAGATTAAGACAATATATACTCGATAAAATATTGCTATATATATATTTTGCTGGTATATATTGATGCGACGAAGAGAGGCCCAAAGAGAGGCCAGGTGGAATAAAACATGTGCGGAAAAAAAACATGAGATAGACGCAGGCAGGTAGATAAACCCGTCGGGAGGGACGTCGTCGGAAGGTTTACATTAGAAAGAGGGAAAGGAGTGGGCGAGAGGAAGAGAGAAGGAAAGACCCGTTCCTCTCTCTTTTAGAAACGGAGAGAGAGAGATGATAGGGGCCCGAGATACAAATTCAGGACGGGATCTGTCCGCTGGACGCTGGTTAGAAAAGTCTCTCGCGCTGAGCCTCTCTCTTTCTCTTTTCGAGCCGCGGAACGCGCAAGTTACCGAGTCGATCTCGAGAAGTCGATCCTCGAGAAGGTGTGGCGGTCGGATAGAGAAAGAGGGAAACGGGGAAAGGGAGATAAAAGAGAAGCGGAGGAGAAAGGGCAAAGAAGATCGTCGGAGGCCTTCGGAGCAAGCGTGAGAGGTCGCCATAAAGGCCTCCGTAAGGCCCCCGCGGCTGAATCTCCGATCATTACTCCCTCTCTTCGTTGTTCTCCTCAGTGTTTTTCTCTTTCTTTTTCCCTCTCGCGTTCTTTTTCTCTCTCTCTCTCTCTCTCTCTCTCTATCTCGTGCGCGATCATCTTGTGGAATTCGGCATATCGATACACGCACAAAATGACTTTCGGTGCGTTCTCGGTGCGCACAGGGAACAGCGTTAACAGTTTTGGCTTTCTTACAGCATGCCGAAGGGGTGGAAGGGATGCGCACAACAGCAGCGAGTTCATGAAGTTAGAACTCGTTGCTGTTGTGCGCATTCCCTCCATTGCTTTAACATGTTGTAAGAGAGCCAAAACTGTGAACACTGGCAGGGAGTCGGCGAGCTGAGCCGAGAGGCCTCGGAGAAGACCGATTTCGCATCTCGAGCCAAGCCGAGGGCCCCGCTCTGCCGGGGCCGTAAGTCCCCTCCCCCGTTCCGTTCCGTTCCGTTCCCGGTGTTCAGATCAGCGAGCGTCACTCCTCAGAACGGAGCAACGATTACTCTACGGGGCCCGTGCGTGGAAAAGTGGTTAGGTTCCCGCAGCTGTCAGACGGGGCCGCGAGTTACAGGTGTGCATATCGTGTTCGCGTACGCGCGCGCGCGCGGTTCAGTGTGCATGTGACGAGGTGCGCGGGACGCCACGGTTTTGCGAGAAACCGAAAAATCGCGTCGGTATTTCGCGGAGTTTCGTCAAGGATAGCTGCGAAAGACGCGAGGCAAGGACCTCCGACATATATATATATATATATATACATATATATATATACAGGTAAAGCGGCGATACACATAGCATAGAGCCCCCCCAGTGTTTCCCCGTAGCAGGGACTGCTAAGGTCTTCGGTAGGGCTACCAACTTTCAACCGATCCTTGGCGACGGAGTATCCTTAAATATCTCGATATTATAGCGAGCGAAATACAGTATTTTTTTTTTTTTTTTTTTTCACTTCTCTCAAGTGAAACGGGAATTCTTCTCAGCTGAGAAACAATGACAGTAAGAAATAAAAATATGCTCTCTGTATGCATATATCGATGCAACATGTATTGTGCATGTCAGTGTGAAAATTAATTTATTATGTTTTTTTTTTTTTATCGTAGAGGAATTTAAACAATATCTCATCCCTTTCGCGTCGATTGACTTGTTGTGTTTTCTGAGATAATGTAATCGCTCGTATGAAAATCGATATTTAAAATTCGACGCGCGCAAGTCAAGTGGATGAAGAACGTGCGATGATCGCGGACGCGTAATTAAAAACAATCAGATAAGCGCAATTTGAATTTGAAAAACGCAGCGGCGAACAAATTGCTCCGATAATACAAAACACCTCTTGCGGTCTCGTTTTGGGAACCGCGCGCGCGGTTAATCGTTACTGATTTATTCGCGACAGATCGGCATACGCGCTTTCATTCTCTCGTCTCGGATATTTTTGTTGTAAAACATCGTCGTCGTCGTCGTCGTCGTTCAGATATCAGTGGGAAACGATTCGCCGCGAGATGGATAACGTTAAAACGGGTTTAAGCGTGAAAGTAATTGAGGAAGTGGATGAACCGACAAGCGCTTGCTCGCGCGCTCCTCCTCGCGCGCGCACAAGACACGGTAAAAGTCTGCATCACGGAAAATCGACGTTATTTTTTTTTTTTTTTTTTTTTTTTGCGTACGACGGAGTGTATGATTAAGTAAAAATCATACAGGAAATAGTATCTGTTTGCGTTCCCGTGCGGTCGTAACACTATCCGGCAAGTTCCGCTGTTACGACGGACACTTCCGCGCGCGCGAACACATTATCGCTAACTATTTGTTTCGATGTTTTATCTTTTGGAATTGCCGCGACTTTCACGGCGCATTAGAGAAACCTCACCACTCGAGACTTCTCTCTCACGTTCGTCGCTCGAAAACGTTTTTATCATTCACGGTGTTAACGTAAGCGCGTCATCAAGCGTTCATCTAACGAGCGTCGATTAAATGTCAAAGACATCTATACAATAACGGATCGTCCAGCGTCCCGGCGTGCGCGCGCGCGCGCATTCACCGCTCCTCGACCGTTCTTTAACCCGTTTTCATCGCGACGAGTCCTTAACCGAGATAATGGAATAATAAAAAAATTCGTTCGTTGTTTTTTGTTATGTTTCGTGAAACACAGCGAGTGATGGCCTTACGCCTGAGGAGCGGCAAGGATGTCAAGAAGAGTTTCTATTACGTCTGGTATCTCGGCGCACGAGAGGCCAAAGGGGTGGACGCGATGCCCAGTGCCATAGCTTACCTGCTGGAGCGGGAGCGACTTCAAGAGCCTTTCAAGGTCACGCTGCAGGTGAGCGGTACCATCAGGCGGAGAAATCCGGTTTCGACGGTGCGCGCCGAAAATGTTGCGGAAACGAATTAAGCCGCAACCGGCCAATCGGACCTTTCGCGCCGACGTGTATATAACATCATAGTTTTTTCTTTTTCTCTCTCTTTCTCTTATCTTTCTCTTGTTTTTTACATGTTCGCCAAAAAGCGGGGCGAGGCGATCATTGGAGAAAAAAACGTAAAGATGGAGAAATTACGACCTTTATTCGGTCGCAAATTCCGACTCGCCCTTGCTACCACCAGTTTTCAAAATGATTATCTCGTATTTTATTCCGATCGGGGTTTGCGGCGAAACGAGCGAGTTGTGACGAGCGATTTGGAGACGTTTTAGCGCATTTTGAGGACGTGAGAATTTTCGGTAATCGTGGAACCTCAAGAGAGAGAGAGAGAGAGAGAGAGAAAGAGAGAGAAATGCATTAACCTCGATGGAACGCGCGTTCGCGATACATCTCGCGGAGGAAGAGCAACGTGTTCTCACGCGCCTCGTGTGTTAATCCGCATAATGCGTTTTAAGACGTGAACCATTTCTTCGTCGAAGACTAGCGCGCGGGAAAAAATGTTTCGATTGTATTTCGATTGTATTTTCGATTCGCATTAATTGCTCGAATAATATATATTATTTCGTTGACCCGAATAATTTGTTTTCACATGCTAATAGGATTTATCTCATTGACCCGAATCGTGCGAAGAAACGAGCGCGCGGCGCGCGGTTTTAATCGATACGCTTGTTCGATAGGGAAAAGAGAAAATAAAATTTACAATGCCAAAACTGTTTCGCGACCGTTAAACGGAGCACGTGGCGCGTTGTAGTTGCCGCCGCATATCAAGTGGCGTCTGAAAATGGATATCCTTTGCTCGTGAAGGAAATCGCATTTTGTTGTCGCAGTGTACGTGCGTGATGCAATAATAAGTCACGTTGAACTCTCGAGCGTTCTAACGCTAAAACAATACGAGAAAATTGATTGAATCGCAACTGTGTCAAATGAGAGGTTCTTTGCGAATTATTGGCGATTTTTTTTTTTTTTTTTTTTTATTAGCTTCGTCCTTTTAAAACACCAAATCGACGTTGTTCGGTGAACGGAAGATTTTGCATAGAGAACAAACTTGCGACAATCGAGCAAATTTTAATTTTCTCAATTGTGAATCCGCACGGAATTCGCGAACTTCTGTGTTGCAGGTGTGCACCTCTCGTGTAAATCGAATATATAAAAAATTAAAACATTTCGCTCACCCGTCTTTTAGTTTTTACACGCTCTCATAATTTTTGCCGCGTGCCGAAAATAAAAAAAAAAAAAAACGCGTTACGAAATGAGGACCGCTCAATCAATTTATATAATTGCTGGCGTAACAACGCAACGATGTGCGGGAAAGACACGTACGTGGGTGGAAGATATCCATAACCGGTCTCTCGTGAGTTTCAGCGATTCGAATCGTCGCGATGATCGACAGCGCCGGTAATTAAGTGTTTTCGCCAAGTGGAACACATTGTAGGGAGAAGGAAAACACATCTTACGAGAATAAGAAGACGCGCACGCCTTCTCGCGTATATCTGTTGCTCGCGCACGGTATTACTCTCTTACGTTACAAGGACGAAGCGTGTGCGCGCCGGGATGTGTGTGCGAGATAAAGAACAAGGCAATCGAGAGAGTTAAAATTTTAATGAGTCAAGAAAAAATATGCAAATTTAATTAGCACTTGTGACGTGCGAACGTCGCTGTTTGCTTGCACATTGATGAGATTCCAAAAAGCAGTAAATTTTATTTTATCTCGTGACACACGTGCACACACACACACACACACGTGACGCGTATCTATGTTTTACCTCATTTACTTTACGTCGATTCCAACGATAGAACGCGCGCATTCTCGCGCATTCGCGAGAGAATATGGAAACAAAGTCGCGATTTGCGCAAAGAAACGCTCAGCGAACAAAGTGTGGTCTTGTGTTTGATAGGTGAGCAACAAAGGTCTGAAGATTATACAGACGGTTCACCCGGGCGGCTCGACGAGATCGGCGGTGAAACACTTGGTGCCGGGTCACGCGGTGCTCGCGGCCGTGCAACGAGAGGACATCGTGGCCGCGACTCTGCTCCTGCCGAATCCGGCCACCAACAATCCCGTGCACGTGCACGCGTACAGGTCAGTGTGGCGTAACACGATGAAGTTCACTCAGTAATTATTTATTGATCTAATAAGAAAGATGCAGAATTTTCAAAGTGCGACGCAACAGAAAGTGACTGCGAAACACACCAGTCCGGCTGTTTGTAAATTAGAAAAAGCCCGGGAAATTGGGAAGCTTGGGAAAATCGGTAAAATTGAGCGTCTGTTCGGCTCGATCTCACCCGATCTCGCGACTTGCTTCTTTTTTTTTTTTTTTTAATTAACCGCTTTAACAACGGATCGCTAATGATCTTCAATAATCCCGCGGCTGACGATATGCGTTCGCATATCGGCCGTTATATCGTCGCGAGCGATACAAAGCATTCGGAGCAACCTTGTCATTAAATTGCAAATTATCGAGGCTATTAGTTCAACGATCTACTCCACAATGGTATGATAATTGGCACGCGCGTTTCGAGAAGCAACAGTTTCCGAAGCTTACAAGAGGTCTCTCTCTCTCTCTCTCTCTCTCTCTCTCTCTCTCTCTCTCTCTTTCTATGGGGTTGAGGTCTACTTCGTGCGCGAGGCCCGCGGAGAGAAAGACGACGAGGATTTTTATGAACGCGTGTTCTCTGTACGCGAGGATCGACACCGGGCGCGATTGTTTTCAACAAGAAGAAAACGCGAAGGCGCGCGCGATCTCTCTGGTATGCTCAATGAGTCCCGTTAAAGAATATTTTGTAGTATAGAAAGTTCGAGAGAGAGAGAGAGAGAGAGATGAATATTACAATTACATTCTCCTTCCCTCTTCCCTCCCCTTCCCTCCGCGGTGAACTTTGCTACTGACGACCTAAATGAAGAAGAATCGGCCGGGATATTTTTCTCACAGGAATTATGCTTATCGCGAGTTTACATCGGCGTGCGATACATTTATACTACGTGCCACGTGATGATTTTCGCAAATGAGATCCGTCCGATCTCGCACGTCTCTCGTGTTACGCGCGGAAATTGTACAACGTACGATGTATCTCGAATTTGTTCATTTATATTTATGATTTTAATTGTTTACACGTTGAATTTGTTTACACATGATCTATTCTGCATCGTACGGGGATGATTTGTGAAAGATTATTTTGTTTTAGATGCAACGCGAAGCTGGATCTCATCTTTAGTATGGTTTTGTTGTTTTTTTTTTGTCTGAGAATTGAAGAAGAACAATAATATCGTCTCTATTTTTCCTCTTGACTTTCGTTTATTTTCAGATGTGATTCGGTCGAGACCGCCGAATTGTTGGGCGGCCAGTTGAAAGCGCTGGCGTCACACACCGACAATTTGGCCAGGGTCACGGCGAACGAAAGCAGAATCCGCAGCAATCTAGGCAGCGACGGCCGGAGTACCAGAGAATCCGAATCCTCCGAAGGCAGCGGCGAGCTCAGACACGATCCGGTCCAAACCACGTCGATTTACGAGTCTCTGGCCGCCGAGCTGCGGGCGAAATTAGGTGAATGTCTTCTTCAGTATCTCGTTTAATCCTTCGCTGCGTGAGATATATTTATGCGCGTCGAGAAAAGCGACGAAAATAATATTCGAAACAAAAAACAGCACAATAACATTCCAAAAGAAAATGACACATCGAGTTAAAAAAAATATATAAAAAATATAAAAAATAAACATAAGAAAAAAAAACGAACTACAGAAACTTGGAATCTCTGCAGATTTTTTTTTATTTGTCGTCCACACGCCGTTCTCTCGCTAATTTTAGTTTCCTCGCGCGAGAAAACAAGCGCTTTAAACGTCCACATTATTAGCGAAAACGTGTCAAGGCAGCGTAAAGATACGAGCGGACAATTATGTTTCAGGCAGAGGTAATTCCGGTGCGAATGACGTAGGTCCGATATTGTTGCCGCCGCGCGACTACGACACCGTGCACAGACATCGCGGCAATTTGGCCGGCATCGAGTTCAGACGTTGCCTGAACGAGACGATCGTGGGTGGCAGTTCGCTCGTAGACAGGGGTGGCACGAGGAGCGCGGCCAGCAGCGGCATCGGTTCCGACAGCGCGGCAACACCACCGCCTTATCAGTCACATCATCCTCTCGGCCCAAGACCGTCCAGACCGTCCAGAGACTCCTCTTCCGGTGAGCAATTTCCGTCACAGTTTGGAAATCTCTTTAAACAATTTTCACTGTAATCAAATCTGTTTTTGTAAGAATTAACATTTTAGATCATTACAATTTATTATAAAACTCTATTTTTAGAATATGCAATTTTGCTACGTCATCAACAATTATAATATTAATTTTTTTCTGTCTTTTTTTTTAATTCAATTATCAAATCTTTATTTTATGTTTGATATATAAAAAACAAAAAAAAAAACTATAACTCACTACATGTACAAATAAACATATATAAATTATATAAAAAAAATATATAAATTTAATATATTTTAATTAAGTAAATATAAAAAAAATATAAATAATATGAAGTAATTTAATATGTAAATTCTTAATAATAAATAATTTTAGATAACAATTAAAAAATAATTGTTATCTAAATATCAAATCTCGTTCGAGAAGAAAAAAAAAGTAATCAAATTTATCTCTCTGTGCGACGCGTCTGCAAATTTACATTGGCGCTAGACAACAAGCACGTGTATGAAATTGGGCGTTAGGAAGTGGGTCGTTGCAACGTGAAATCCGAGAGTGGTATTTTCGCGGCTCAGTCAGTTGCGTCAATGTTACGATGCAACATCCCATTTCAGACAAGAAAGTCTCTCCTCCGTTCTGCGAAGAGCGTGCGTAAAATTGTTTGCAAGCGTGACAATTGCATCCAAGCGAGTGTGAAACTCGCCGCCGAGTATTACGTTCTCGCGTGCGGCTCATAGAAATTCTGCGTATTATTATTGGCCAATATCTCGTGGAACTCGTACAACATCGTGTTGCGTGGGTTATTACATGGGCGCGAAAATGGGTTTCCAGGACGTAAACATGGATTATCTCGAAACTTCTAATTCGCTCGCGATAGAGTTATAATGACACACTTGTCACAAGGTTATCGTTGAATTTGCATACGTAAGTGTGTGTGTATGTGGTTAATTAAATTTATTCAAAAGTACGGCTTGTGTTAAACGTGATAGCTGTAATATCCTGAAAGTTGAACAACTTGTTTAATTCGTGCCGCAAGACAGTCCCTTGCGCATCGTAAAATCTTGGACGTTGACAATCAGAGAGATAGAGAGATAGATAGATAGATAAATAGATAGATAGATAGAAAGAGAGAGAGAGAGAGAGAGAGAAAGAGAGAGAAATTGATCGAAAAAGAAAAAGATTGGAATTGCGTAAACGCGTCGCTTTTTTTTTCAACAATTGCGCTTGAAAAAAAATATCGCACCGTTGTTACGTAATGCTCCGCGGATGCACTTGCAAAATAGAAAGTTTTTATAGAGAATAATCTCGCGCGGCGTTATTGACTGGACGCATCATTACGCCGGTTAAGCGATAACGCAAGCCGATGCTGGGCGCCGCATGAAAGTGAAAGTCTCTTCGCTGCTTCTTCTTCTTCTTTTCGCGGAGTCCGTCTCAGGAAACGATCGCGCGCTCAATAATCATTTTTTTCCGAGCGAGTAGGGGCGTATTGATGAATATCCGAAACAACTCAATAGATGAGAGACTTGTCGTTGACAGAGTTTCATGGGTAGACCAAATGTCGAACGCCGGCTCGTTATCGGCACGTTTGAGCGACAGCTCGTCAAAGTGCAGCCACTTGCGGCATCGATGGCTCCAATGTTGCTCGAAAATTTCCTTTCCGCCGTCGGTCATATTTGTCGCAGAAATAAATCGCAACGAATTTATCTGGCGAGTGCCGAGCAGCAGTTGAGGTGAAGCGAGATGATCGCGTGGGATACCGTACTTCTGAAAAATGAAATGAAACTTGTCAACGCGACAACAGCAATGTGATGCTATCCGGACGCGTCGCGTTTTCGGACGCTTATCAATATCACGTACCCTACATATATCGAGATCGGGCGAAATCGATTTTGACGAATCGCTTTGTTAATTGAGTGAAAACGTGTGTGGAAAAACGTGTGCCGTATTCTCGGAGATAACGATACTCCAACCGAGCTGTTCGTTTCTCGCATTCCGATGGCACGAAAGCGGAAATGATTCTCCGCGAGCGGAGATTTATGTCGGTACTTGTGTCGGTGCGACAACAAAAATTTGGGCGCTTTCTACTCGCACGCAGGTGGCCGTGCGTGCCGCGCGCGGCTCGAATCTTATCGGCTCTCGTAGAAAACTGGGCAGTGACGGACACACCGAGCGACCTCGTAACCCAGTTGCCGGTATAGTAACTACGAAAAATCGTTGTCGTCTTCGGATCGCGTTCGCATAAGCGCGCTCGCTTTTTTTCCCCCCCTTCTTATTCTTTTCACCCCGCGTCAAAAAAACACGTGTCGCGCCGAATGCGGAATCGAGAATCTGATTTGTCGTGGATAGGCGCGCGGATAGGAATTCCTCTTCGCGAATAAAAGTCACATCCACCTCACTTTCGCCAGCCGTTCAATCCTCGCGAAAATCTCTCCGCGCGTTTGTTTCGCGCGATTCAATCGGCTCGCGCGACGCGCGCGCGTCCGTGCGAGAGGAAAAACAACGCGAAATCATCAAACATTGTTGTCGAAAGTTAAAAAAAAAAATATCCAGCGCGGAAAAGCCGCAGATCGCGTCACGCTGAAAAAAAAAAAAAAATCACGTCTCGCAAATCAACGAGGCTCACGGTCGTTTTCTCCGCGCGCAATTGTACATCCCTTCTGTGTCTGTATATAAGCTTTCATTCACGATTCTGCACCGTCGAAATAATCTGCGGTCTGAAACTGTCCGTAGAAACGGACCGCAGACACACAACCGTAACCGCCGATAATCGACGAAGAGATTTCTAAACGCAACCATACTCGCAAGTTCAATTAGAGGAAATTTATATTTGCGATAGAATTTTTTCTGATTGGTTTTTCTTTTTTTTTTTTAATGTCTCGAAAAGGAGGCCGCAATAATAGAGAAACACAACGTTCGGCACGAATGCTCTATTAGCGCTCGAGATTCTTTTTTTTTTTTTTTTTCGAACGCGAAAATTCATCCTACTTATCTTTCGTACAAAGCGGCGTTCCGATAAAGCAACAGACGGAGCGCAACGATGCGTATTAAGTGTATGCACGCACGCGATGCGTATTATACGATATTATACGCGGACCATCGAATCGTCGAGGAGGAACTCGAGCGATCCTCTTCGTCTCTTCTGGGGCGTGCCTTGCGAGAAACGTGTTTTTTTTAACGGACGACTGACCCATATAGCGTAGCTGAATAAATTTCGAGAGATGAAAGAGGAGAGGAGAAAAAAAAAAGAAGATACGACACACACCTCCGTCGCATATCACTCCGCCGCGTGGTGAATATGTGCTCCCGGGCTTCTTCGGCGCTTCTCGCACGCGAGAGAGACTGTATCAAGCACCTGTTACAGTGGAAGAGAAATATACCGTTAGGACACGTCGCCGTGTCAGCGGCAGGTACCACGTCGGTCTACGACCGAGGACATACGTGTATCTCAGCTGGTGTGTGTCCTCCTCACACACAGCCGCAAAAAAACCAGCTGATTTGTCGCTCGGCAACCAGATTTCGTACGGAAGTTAAAACCGCGTTTGCCCGCTATTATCTACCATTATCTACTCGTAAACTCAACTCAGATTGGTGGATAAAAAAAAATTTGCGTCTTACTTTTTGTTGAGACTTGAATCTTGATGCGAGAGTATGAACAGAGAGTATACCTCGTTATCCTTTCAGCCGTTAATTCAATTATTTCTTTGATTATTACTTGTATGCAAATAGAAAAGGAAATAATGAGTTAGTTACTCGGTATCAAGTGTGTGTGTGTTTTTTTTTATCAAATTTTATCGATTGACCGGGATAAAAAGTCGAGATGCGGGACACACGGAAATCCTCCTTCTGTCACGTTTATATGTTGCGTGCAATTAAAGAAGACGTAACAGATGTTGGACCGCGACGATTTTTCCACTTCTATATCGCGCGCGCGCGTGTGTGTGTGTGTGTGAACGGCGCCTCATTAGATTCCTACCAGGAATCTCGTGCAAATCGACGTGACACTTGAGCGTTTTTGCGTGTTTTATCTTCACACTTCCTCATTTCTGTATTTTTTTTTTTTACGTGGGGGAAATCCTCATGGACACCCTCAGTCCCGGAGGAGAGCCGAGGATAGTGCCGGACTCGTACCGGCTAAAACCCTCACGGTGTGCCTTCCATGCGCGTTTCGGGGAGAGCTCCGCGAACTCTCCCCCGCGCTTGCTTCGATTGGGGAACCAATTAGACTCTTCAATCCGCCCGATACCGACGACAGGGCACACACTGTCCCGCCGTCCCTTCGAAGGTCGCGTGCAGGACGACGGGTCAGAGCCTTCGCTCCGACTCGTGACGTACGAGGGATGATAAGTCTCTCGAAGCGGAGAGATAAGCAATTTATCGGATTGAAATATTTTTTCTTATTAGTGTCTTCGGCGAGCTGTCGCACAAACCAATAACGAGCCAGCGTTTGCTTTTCCAAAAGAGATAAAAAACTTGCAAACGACAACAACAATGTGACACTACTGTCGCTATTTGTGCGCGTAGTTTCGTGTATTTATCAATCAATCGTATTTCGCGCGGAACTGCGCTATCGTTTATTAGATAAAGATAATCTCGGTTTATCTATCGGTGTTTATCTATCACCTAGATTACAGCGCCAATCAATTACGCGGTCAACGATGCTTTATTGTGCGCGGGTTTTTTTTTTTTTTTTTTTTTCAACATCTCGACGAAGTACCGTTACGTACGTCGCTGAGTCGCGAAAATTATCGGTATCGTGAAAATGCGATAGACAAGAATCTAGAACCGGTTGCAGAAAATTAATACGCATACGCGATAAACGTAACATGCGCACGCTTTTAATTGACCAACAGTTATAATTGCACATTGTGTCGTATCGTGGCGGTTTGAAAACTGGCCGGCAAGCGAGTGACGTAAAATTTAGCGACGACACCAAAAAAGGGGGGATTCCCCCCCCCCCCCGTCTTCCCGGCTCGATTGACTTCACCCTTCGATTCTTGCCTAATACAGTAACGATGATACCACTATCCGCCTCCGTCGTTTTACGGCGGATTGTTGTTGCGCAAAAGACGCAACGTGTCTTCTGCGTTTCCGCGTTTCGGGCCACGAGAGAACGTCGCTCCTCGTGTGTCGTCGTTGTTTTACGGATAATGACAGTCGTGCGGACGACGACGATGATGATGAGAGATGGAAAGAGAGACGGCGACCGAATCACGTAAATTCGTGCGTGAGTCGACCTCGTGGGAGGCCGCTTGTACGTGCGGAATAAAGTTCCGCATTCTCGGCCCACAGCCCGAGGCGACCTCTCAGCCTCTCGTGTCTCCTTCGAGAGAAGTCTCTCATCTGCGCTCCCCCTTCTCGCCGCCCTCTCGCTGTCCGCTACTGCTCTTTAAATCTCCCTGACCTCATCATCGGGGATACCAGATTTCGCGAGACTTAACTTGCCGACCGATTTTCCATCCTCGCTCGAAAGATGTTTATATCGCGAAGGCGAAATAAAATTGTTAATTGACGGGAAGATGAAAGAAACAACGTAATTCTATATAGATAAGCGCAATTAGCGATTAACTTAACACGGGATTTTTTTTATTGTTTATAGACGACGATTGGGGTGTGCCGAACGAGGAGAACGACTATCTGCCCGATGTGGAAACGGCCACGTCGAGTCTTACGTTGCCGCGATTACCGCGTAGCCCCGAACGACTGCCCAATCAAGCGAACAGAGGCGTTTCGCCGAGCTGCAACAGGAATCGACGAGCCGCGGAATTTAGACAGCGATCGCCGAGTCCTCAATACCAACCTAGGGTCAATCCCAACGAGGTGACCAGTCCCAGAGAAAGGTTCCAAGATGCAAAGGAGATGTTTAGGGCAATGGAGAGGGAGGCCATCGCCAGACCCGTTCTTTCACGGCAGAAAGACATCGAGCATCATTCTGTTCACAGGTACTACTTTCGCGGATGCTACTTTCGACTGTTTAGAAATTTGAGGAACGTACCGACTGACTTCTCTTCGGATAATGTTCAAATATGTGTTTCGGCGAAAGGACAACGCGGTTGGAGAGATTTAAGTCTTTCGATAAAAAAAAGAAACTCTTGTTGCGTTTTTCCGTATTTGTTCGCGGTATTCAATCCGATCGCGTTCTAGTTCACGTGTGCTCGCGCGAATCGATTGCGAGTAAAAGTCAGAATGTCGAGTCGATGTCGAGAGTATCAGCCCAGGGGGGGGATCTGAACGTGAGACATCGATCGTTGTCGCGCGCTTTTCGCGCGCTTTATTTATTTTTTTTTTTTTTTCTATATTCGCTTTGCACGTACATGGTTTCGCTCAGCTTTCCACGCTCGAACGGGTTTCGAATATTTTCACCGATCAACCGCGTTCCCGCGAGAGAGATTTATGAAGGTACAAAGATACGTTTGGTTATTCGTGGAAGTCGCAGTTAGCATCGATATCTCGCGTGCTCACTCACGGAAGTGGTTTTTTTAACAGAAAGTTTTTCTGTTTCTTCAAATATTGTGTTCTCGCAGTCTTATCAGAAGAAATCTCAATTTAATATTAAGCAAATTAAATCAGATTTTTTGTTTTACATTTTACAGAGCGGAGTCCGCCAGACAAATTCAGGATGATCGATCCGGTCGCCATTACTCAACGGGGATGAACCCGATGTCCTCGCACGACGTGATCAGACGCAATCAGTCCGACGCGATGGATCGTGAAAACGTCTACAAGGGCAAACCGCGACCCAGAACTGACAATTACGTGATCAAGCGTTTACCCGAACCGGAGACATCGCGGCCACGACCGAGAAGCTTCTACGAGAATCCGGCGACCGGCAGGGATTTCAGAGAGCAGAAGAATCCCGTCGATCAGAGAGACGTAAGCGCCCGTTTGAATGTCTTTCACGCTCAAAAAACACAAATATATAAAAAAAAAAAATCTACAAATGCGAATATATAAAATACATAAACTTATCACGATCTGCGTGTGTGTGTGTGTGTGTGTTTGTGTTCGTCAAACAGGTGCGAGAGTTTCGAGAACGCACGCAGCATTCGCGGGAACTGCGGGAGAAGCTGCGAACGAGAAGCACGACCTATCAGGAGTTGTCCGAGCACGAGAGATATCCCGGATTAGATCGCGAAAGTGCCAGACCGCCGTTGGAGATGATCCCGACACCCGGTAGATATCGTCACAGCTACGCCGAGCCGCCGAGATTAGGTCTAGCCGCGCTTCATCCCTACTGATGCATGAGTAGCGATGCGTTAGTAGCTTGTTAACTGATGAATTATTTAATTAACTGACACACATATCGCGTTATATCGTATTATTCATACCTCCGTCGTCGCCTTGACCGTTCAGTGTGTTTCACGATTAACGGTCTTTATTCCGCCTTCGTGTAATATAACGAGGGAAGAGAAAGGAGAGATCGAGGAGTGCGATATGTATTTTTTTTTCTCTTTTCTTTCTTTTTTTTTTTTTTTTTTGACTCGAGAACGCTAACGGGAAAAAGCATTTTTTAATTGACGTTAATATTGTTACATCCTGGCCCATAGATACGGGCTATGGGTGACACGCAACAGCTGGACGTATTTGTACGATGCTTGGCACAGAGAAAACGGGAATCCAGCTGTGTGCGAGAGTCGAGCGAGATTGTTTATATTCACGGACGGGTCAACGGCACGCGCCGATGTTATTCAGTCCCATGAAGCCTCACTCGATGTGGTCTCCTTTTTAAGTCTGAAGCGTTTGCTCTACGGACTAAGGACGGGACCTTAGTGAGGATCGTTGAGAATGGGAATGTGAAAAGTTGATGTCCTTTGAAGAAGAGTTAGTTACGAAAAATATTTATTCGCGCGTTAAAATTAGTTAATATACATATTTTAGTTGACGTTCGTGGTGGCTGAGAGAGAGTGTCACGTGGGACGCGAAATTTACAAAGACGGCGGGTCATCACTTAAAGACCGGAAAAGATGTATGTATGTATGTGTGGGTGTGTACGTGTTTAGAGCCTCTGATGGTCCTTGGCAGATGAATGTGTCGACGTACGTGTGTGTGTGTGTGTGTGACCGACTCGTGGCAAAAAAAGGCTAAATCCAGAGAATTTTTGATTGTGAGTCAAAATTCAGTGTCTTGCGAGAGCTCGCATCCTTCGTTTCTTTGTTCTAAAAACTTCTCTTCCGGAGATAAGAAGATTTATTAGTTTTACTTATCAATTTCCTGGCACATGTGAATTGTTAGTCCATATGCCTGGCATTTGTACGTTCGGCATCGAGGCTTGTCTCGAATATAATTGTTTCCCCGGCTCGTTATTTCACTGATACGCGCGGCTTTTAGTTTCGTGTGCGGACGATTTCCAGCATCGCGTGGTTTCGTCGGATTGATCTTCTGCTCTCCGTCAGAGAATTTTCTTTTGTCGACATCTTATCTGTTCGCTACATTGCGTTGCATAAAGAAGAAAATCGTCGCAGGGAGTCGCAGGACAACGTAACAATATATTATTTTCTTTTGGCTGCTCGCGTGCAAAAAGTTTGCTGCGACGTGCAACTTGACCGTTATTGAAAAATACGATATCACTTGCAACAGAGTTACTGAAATTGTTTGTTCACTCTCCTTTCTTTCCGTCCGTGGCGCGTTTTGATTGAAAGAAAATTCATTGTTGATAGATGTGCAATGATATAATTACACGGATGATTTTATTCACCCACACATTGTGCCACTGAACAGTCAATGTCGATCAATAGAAGAGTGTACATGTATGTAATGTGAAAGAAGCTTTGTATGTGTATCGCATTTTCGATGAATTTTCACTTACATATGACTTTTGCGTATCGTTGTTATCGAGTGTTACGAACTGGAACTTGACCTCGTTGACGAGATATGATACTGATGAAGAAGAAACAAATCGAATTTTTTAACGATATTCCGATTACTATAATTGTTATGCGTCAGATGCCAGACTAACAATACAATAATAATAATAATGATAATAACAATAATATCGATAATATAACAGTATCGTAATAATAATTGTAACAACAAGTTCTCGTACTTTTTATTTGTTCCCTGTGTAACACGTGGCGGAGAATATACAATGTTAATTGAGAATAGATTAAAAAAAAAAATAAATAAATTTAGAAATGAAATTTATCCAAGAAGGCATTGTATTTCACTGACTATATGTGCTTTTGTTCAAATTTGTATATATTCAAACTATGCAGATTTGTTAATATTTATATAAAAAAATTGTTTCGCTCGTTTTACACCAATAGAAATATTATCCTCAATAAATCGCGCTGTGAAAATCATGTCGTTTTGATCAAATAACGTTATTTGTTAAATGGCAAAAAACACTTTTTACACAATACAAAAAAAGAATTAAATTAAATTTCTCTCTCTCTCTCTCTATAGTATTTTTCTCTCTCATCTTATGTGGTAAGATAATACATTCTCATTTCTCGTCATGTAAATTGTTCTTGTTTCGCAAGCCAACGTGTGCGCGCATAAAATTAAGAATCTCCGTTTAATTCATTTCGCGACCACACTCTCGCGGCAATATTAGCGGTTGCATAACTAAGCGAGAAATTTCAGTTACGCGGTAATAAGATGAATTCCGGATAATCTTGCGACGAGCGCGGCGCGCGCTTATACAAGACCGAGATGTGCGTGGTGAAAACCAGACGGGTAGTACCTGTCACACGCGAGCATGGCGCAAGGACCGATCTCTCTCCGGGTTTCGAGGAAGAGGCCTCAGGCCTCGTGTTACATTTCGTCGGACTGTTCCCCGCAGCACGTCGGTTGCGCAGAACGCAACGCAAATTTACATCGGCAACGATGTTGAAAAATCCGAAGTATATATACGCGAACAAAAATCGTTGCACACGGATAATAATAATTTTGTACAAAACAATTAAACACTGAAAGAATTTTCGGCAGACATGGACGAATTAATTGAGATAATTCCAAATGCGTTTGAAACGTTTATCGAAGAGATCAATTGACAGATCGCATCGAGAGAGCGTTTATCGAGATGAGAAATACCGGTACTTCACTCAAGCTTAGAAAGATGTATTTTTCACACACGACTGATCGGTATAATAAATTACTTTCACGGATTAGAACACGGAACACGAAGCGGACAGTGTTTTTTTTTTTTTTTTAGTTTTGTTTCAATATTTGCGATTCTTTAACGAGCAACAAATGAATAGAAAGCTATAAAACGAATTGAAATCACCGGTCTAAGATCTATAATTCTTCGTCGTAAGATTATATACGGAGGACACACCAGCAATTTGTAAGTATGATTAATCATTGTTTCGTCTAATTTAATACACACGTATATAATAAGAGTAAAATAAAATATTTGAAATTTTATATTATTTATCGTCTTTCAGATAGTTGCTAACTGGCGCAAATACAATTTCAATCGCGTTCGTCCCTTTCTAATAACATTTTTGATCGATGAGACGACATGGAAAACAAATTGACAGACGATATACAACTAGATACACGCGTATCGACTTTCAGTGGTGGCGTTAAAAGGAGAAATTGCTCGAATGCAGTGCGAAGTGAATAGAATAAATTAATAATACACATCGCGGAGAAAATTGCAACAGGTGCTTGCAGAGGTGTTTGTAATTTCGTGAAAGTCTTTTCTTCTCGCAAGATATACGCAAAATATTGAAAAAAAAAAAAAAAACAATATTTAAGTAAAATTCCCAAATTGTGTCTCGTCTCTGTTCTTCATCGCTTTTTCCATTAGTCCGTACATCACAACCTAAGAACGCGCAATTTTCCCTCGTCGTAAGAATGAAGTTTCGCAAGCCGTAATCTCGGTTGCAGTTTCGCAAAGGTATAAGACCCGAGATTAAGACGCGTGGAATTGTCGCTGTCTCGTTTTTCCCACTTGATGAGCTCCGCGATCGCGCGGAACGCTGCTCTATCCCTGGAGAGGAGCAACGTATACCGGGTGAGACGGTCCAAGAATCTGAGTGCGTCGTCTTTTCTCGCGCGACGGGATATTCACACGCGCCGCGTAATGTAATTCAGAAATTCGATTACCGTTGCGTTGCCGCACTTTCTACGTTCAGAGACGCGAGTTACTGCTCAGAGGGGGACACACCTCGCGTCCGTTGGATAAAACAAAAAAAAAAAAAAAAACTACAATAGGAAAAGAACACGGGAATATATCTTCAGAATTCGCTCCTACGGAATTGCTGCATAAATATACGTGAGGATAAATTATTCATCTTCTACTTGAGACAGAGAGAGAGAGAGAGAGAGAGAGAGAGAGAGAGAGAGAGAGAGAGA